CGAGTTCGAGATGCTCTGGTGTTTGAAGTGACCGGAGTCGATGTAGCCGGTCCTCTTTATTTAAGAAAAGGAAAAAAGGCATGGATCTTGCTCTTTACTTGCGCGGTTTATCGCGCGATACATCTTGAACTGATAGAAAGTTTATCAACAAATGCGTTCATCTTGGGATTAAGGAGATTTATTGCCAGAAGAGGTCGTCCAAGTATTATTTACAGCGACAATGGCACTAATTTCGTTGGAACTGAAAATCTGTTAAGATCGATAGATTGGAAAGAAATAGAATGTAATTCAACTAGTATGAAAATACAGTGGAAGTTTAATCCCCCAACTGCTTCATGGTGGGGCGGTTGGTGGGAGAGGTTTGGTACAAACAGTGAAGAAGATGTTGAGAAATGTTCTCGGAAAAGTCCTGTGTCTCTTATGAGGAAATGTTGACTATACTTTGTGATATCGAATCAGTGATTAACTCAAGACCCCTTACGTACCTTTCAGAAGATCCAAATGATCTTACGGCACTAACTCCTTCAATGTTTCTACAAGATGTGCACGACGTCGGAGTACCAGACTTAGACTACCTGGATACCATCAATCTGACAAAAAGATACAAGTTCTTGCAGAACTTAAGAGAAAACATTTTCCGCAAAAGATTTCGTGATGAATATTTAGCTATCCTAGTGCAAAAACCACCTAAACGATTCTACTCGGACTATCAACAAAAATGACTTGGTGTTTGTCGGCAGCGACAACAAGAAGAGAATAGATTGGCCAATAGGTCGTGTTGTAGAAACTATATCCTGGGAAAGACAACGAAGTACGTGTTGTCAAAGTGAAAACTGCAACGGGTGAACTCCTAAGACCTGTGAAACGTATTTATCCTTTCGAACTTGATAGACCTAACTTGTTTAGTGACTTCACCATGAACATAAAAAACTCTGCGGATAAGTGTTACAGTGATATGAACTATCAAACTAGATATGGACGTAAAACTGTAAAACCTCTTACATATTTTTAAATTGCTATACTAATTTTTGTTTCTTTTCAGTATTTTAGAAATTTAATTGTCCTAACAGTTGTCAATTGGAACATGTTATCTGGATATGGTATGAATGTAATGCAGAAAATGTTTAGATGTGTAATCCTTCTTTGTAAGTATTAATTTTAGAGCATTAGTTACTTTTCATATTTGTGAAAGTTGTACTTGAATTTTTGTTTGATTATTGATAAATTTTGTTTTGATTTTCCCATCTTATCGAGGTAAAATCAAAAGGTGGGAGGATGTCACATTCTTGCCACTAGGTGGCGGGCATCTCTTCCTTTACTTTTGCTGTAATTAAGTTCCGAGAAGCAGTCGAGATTGGAACCGCTCTGAGGAGCGTAAAGACTCAGAACTAAAAATGTACTGTTTTAAAATAATTATCATGTATATTAGCTTTTTATTTCAATAAATAATTAAAAGACAAGATGGCCTGCTAATTGTAATAGAAACTCTTACTGGAAAACGTGATTATTAGAAGCCTGGCGTCGAGAACACTGAAGATGCAGCAGGTAAGGAATTTTACATTAATTTTATTGTAAATAGAAGAACCTGATGCAACAGGCCTCTGTGGAAAGGGGCTTCTCTGTAAATAAAGCAATTGAAATTGAAAAATTTAAGTGACTCATCATACATTTTTCAACGCACAGTATTTGATTACATAAAATTTTCTGGAGGTGTTCTTAATATCGAAATTAATAAAGAAATGAGATCAGCAGCAGCTTCTGCAAGAAGTGGAGTTCATTATTTAGAAGTTCAGTATTTAGAAGAACAAAAATCTTTAACTAAATCTGAAAATTCAAAGAGGAAAAGAAATATTATTGAGAAAGAAATTGATTATATGAAGCAGAAGAAAAAATTTCTTCAAAGGGACATTAAAGATATTAATGAAGAAGTAGATGCTTTAGCAGATAAAGCTGAGACCAGTAGGAACATTGATTTGTTTATCAAAGCAAATGAACTTAGAAGAATAGTTAAAGAAAAGAAAATAGACATAAATAAATTAGATGTTAAAATAGCTGAAAAGATTTCAGATTAAAAAAAAAAGCACAATGTTTTGTATCTTTTATTGTACAGTTTATTATTCTAGTATCTTTCAAAAAACCAAGGAAATAAATTGTATGTTTACAAATCAGTTATTTTAATCTGCAAAATATTCTTACATTGTGATTATAATAGTAGTTGACTGTGTTTAAATAAATATCAATAAGTTAAATAATAATCATGTAAATCTCTAAAATAGTGACTGTTATTAGTGTAAAATACACTTATACATGTTTTTCAGAAATTATGTTCCTAATTTAATGTTATCTACTTCATAACTTGTAGGGAATTAGTTTAATTTTCAAAATTGTTTTATGGTAAGTATTAAATTGAATTTAATAATAGTGCATAATACACACTTCTGTTAGTTTCTTAAAGTGAAATTACAAGCATGAAGTCGGTTGTATGGATAATTGCTTTATTCTATTCATTTTTTTGTTTGCTGATAGGTCCTTAAATTTTTCCTTTGATGGTCCTTAAAAGTCCTTAATTTTCATGTAAAGAAATGTGTACGAACCCTGTAGTCATTAGTCATAAGATTAGATCATAGGCGTTTATGGCTGCGAATGTAAGTGTGCACACGAGCATAATACGTTTACGCATGCGCGTTTAATATATAATGGATGGTATAAGCTAAGCTAAAATTATCTAATTCAGTTAATGTTGCAGATTGCGTTGTTCCTTAATCTTCGAATTGGATCCGCCTTATTATTTTTTGCAGACTGTTAGAGCAATTTTATAAAAGTAAGCTTGAACTTTCGATTATGTCAAATAAAATTTCCGATATATATTTACTAATATGTAAAGGATCTACAAAACGAAAGTATGTTTCAAAATCCGAAATCTGTTTATCAATTTCAAGCTGCTCTGCGGGGAATGGGACGCCGCGGCGCGCAATGAATTGGGAGTTGATCTGTCAGCACTATCCTTGTCTTCAGGGCAGATGTTTTTATTTTATTTGGCTTATAATTCCTTACTAAATGTAGTATTTCAACTCAATGTACTCCGTCTTTGATATGATTTAAATCAAGTTCCTTGTCATTATAATTCGCTTCCGATAGTGAAGAAAGTGACACAGAGGTTATTGAAAACGAAAAAAATTTCGATTGACAAATTAGTTGGTATTCTCAACACAGCAATTATAGGACTTGAACAGCAGAACTTTGTAACTAAACAAGAAATCATGTCTGTTTATAGAATTAAAGAGAAAGTATTAGCATAAAATACAAAGTAACTTAAACAACTAACATTGATAGAAATGTTTAATAAAGTAAACAAATAAATATTAAGCTTTTTCTTTTTGTAAATTTTGATACCCTTTAGATCATAATTGTTCTTTATTTCATAAATTACGGTTTCATATTTTTAATTTTGTAATTTCTGCATGCCATCTTACCATATTTAAACTGATGATCTATAATCTGGAATCGCCGAAGTCCCGACGAGTCCGGATTAACCACTTTTGACTGTATTTCATATATACTATATAACAAAAACCCAACTATGTGACATTCAACTAACCAGATCATTTTTAAAAAAATGTTCTCCTGAAATACCAAGTAAAGAAGAGATTTCTAACACCATTATAGAACTTATTATACTGTCAATACATGTACATTATTACTAAACAGTGTGATTTAGCACCAGTAATGGATCGAATGACATTGCAACACAATCAGAACTTTACTTTTGTTCTATATAAACCTGATTTAATTTTTGTAAAAATTGTAAGTTATGTTGAAAACATTATTACTGCTGTTGTTGCATTTTGTAAACATTATTGATACTTTTCCGTTTTGCCGGCGCAAACGATAAAGTCGCCAATAATGATACAACTGATGCCAAACGGAATATCTTTGCTGGTAACCTTTTACGCCTCATTTTCAAAACAAATCGCATCCATTTCTTACAGATTGATTGTTTCTTTCATTACTGCCATACAATTATATAGAATATTTACAAAGACAATTAAATTTTATGCCCTAAGACCATTAATTAGGATACAATCACACCGCTCACTTGAAGGCGAAAATATAGAAAAGGCAGAATCAAGGGTTAAATTCATCAATTCTAATGAGAATGCACTAGCGAAGTAAAGCACTGCAGGTTTTACATAATTTCTCAGTAAGCTATTTGTACAAATTGAAATAATTCTTGCATTTAAACTTGTATTCCAAATTAAGATTTAACTAGAAATTAATGTAGATAATTACTGAAAGAATTATATTTTTGTAGTGTAGTGTACATGAAATCATGTGATATGAACCGGCGAATCAGGGTGTTGAACCATGATAGCATAGTATATTCTTAAATTAATGTCTTTTTACAAATTTATTGTCTTTATTTATTAGCTTTTTACAAAATTTTAAACCATATTAAAATGTTTATGCCTTCAAAATAAAAAATTGTTAGAACTATTATTTGTTAAAATTTTTTATGTGTATACTGTATGTTGTCACCAACAAAGTCTACTTGGTGAGATTTGCGCCGGCGAAATGAAAAAGTACCACATTATTAATATTTGGAACCTGCTTTCTATGGAAGAGACTGCAGTGGAGTCTGGATCCCAGTATTAAAAAAGGCACAATATTCTACTTTCTTTGAAAACAGATTAATGATACAAAATGAAAATTTATGATGAACGATTTGAGATCTTTTCATGCTATATCTGTAATATGTATTTGCTTTATTATTTAACTAAACAAAAAATGATTTATTCCTTTAAAATTCTGCCAGTATGATTGGTGCAAGTTTGGTGACATCTCTGCCAACTTTCAAGTTCAGTGGATTTTCATAAATGGATAAGATGTTTTACTTTCATTGTTCAAGGCCTAGAAAATACATCAGCTTTTATGCCCAAAATGTATTATATTTTCCCCAAAATTTATTTTATTTTGATTGCAGGCTTTTGATGTTCAAGTTGGTAATAAATAAGATGACTGATTTTATAATTTTATATTAGAAATTTTTTCCATTCATTTGGCATTTCTAAAGTGAATTCCACATTTTATACATTAATAGTCTTATATGCCCTATCTGGAATTTTAATGTATCTAGAAATCGGCATTTCCCGGGCTTTTTGGATAGTCTACTTTCTATTGTATTTGTCAGTCATAAGATTAGATCATCTGTTTACCAGATGATTGTCTGTTGGTGTCTACATTAATATTGTTATATATAAATTACAGAGTATTACAGCTATTATGTACGTAACTAACATTAAACATAAAAAATTAAGTTTTGTAATGATGAAATATTTGAAAATTTTTATATATTAAGTATATATTAAGTAATTCAGTTTTTCTTCAAATGGCACAATCACCTGCTTTTGCGGAGCAGTGCTAGTTAATACATGCACACTGCTGTATTACATAGGTTTTGCAGTAATGTAATAAAAAAATTGAACTGTGGAAGGTGATATTTTATTCAAGTGAAGATAACCAACATCACCATGATGTTTTTTAAGCAAATATAATTTCTGAAATCATCTTGACACTAGAAACAAGAGGTGGCTTCAGAATCATTTCATTTGCATAATATGTACTACAGTTAATTTTGTTTTTAATGCATAATATGTTCTACAGTTTACTCTAAGATTGCTAGCTATAAATATAAGCATTCTGCAAATATTTTTGACCTAACTTATGGAAGAATTTTATTTTATTTTTGTAACAGATTTTTTTACTTTATGATAATTAAAGAGTAGACTAGATTAGTGTAAATTTTATGTTCTTATGTTATGCTTAAATTCTTTTGTTTCTGTCTGTGTAATTTATCTCCAATTTGTTTTTTCAAATAACTTTTATCTTCAAAATAAGAATATCGTCAAGTAAACTGGCTTATAAAATTATGAAACTATGGTATTCTTGTGCATTTTCATTTTTCATACATCTAATTTTAATTTATTATTTTATGTAACAAAAGTTTATCAGTTTTGCCAATTGATTTCTCCCTTCTCTTTTCGTAATTTTTACAGATGGCGCAAAAGAGATTCTAAAGGATCAGAACATACTCTTTTTGGTACAACTCATCATTTGGAATTTGTGCAAACATGGTATATTAACAAAATGGATCTTTCATTGCCAGGGGTATTAGAAATATTTTTAAATTTTATTTATTTAAAGTTCCCATTATTTGATCATTGTGTATTTCAGAACTATACTGATCAGTCTCTTATGGTATTTTAATTTTTAACCTAATTAATTTTACAAAAGAAATGACATAACATGAAAATAATTTATTAAAATATATTTATCTTTGATAACAGGGTTCGTAGCGGTCCTTACAAGTGCTTATAAGCCCTTATATTTGAAAAAAATATAAGGCCCTTTATCTGGTGCTTACTTTTTCTTTAAGCCCTTATTTTTTTGTTTTTCTCTAAAGCACTTATTGGCTTTTGGTGCTTTTTTTAGTGCTTTGTTTTTAATGAACGCGCATTTTTTCCCCGTACCAAAGCCGAAACTAAATAAACAACTTTTCTATATGAATATGCAACGTTCAGATGGTGAATCATACTCCCAGAAATAGCTTTTCCCCCCTTTCTTTGCATTATTAACCATAGCCTTTGCGACAGTACAGACAGGTGCACAACGTTCTATTGGTCAAAGAATTACGAAAGCAATAGGAAAATTCCGGTACATTCTTTTTTTCTTTTGCTCCCACCCAACTAGTACACACGTTTGAATTTCTATCAAGATTTTTAATAATTTCCATTCACGTTCCTGCGTGATCAGTTCACATTCGCGTTTCTTATCATCGGTATGTTTATATTATGAGCATATGTGTGAATATTTATAATAATATATTTGATATATTTACAGTAACTCCTGAAGAAAAATAAACTTCCAGAAATGGGTAAGTGCATTTTGACACAGATTAGCTTTCTAAGGAATAATATTCGGAATGGCTTAAATAAAAGGAAAGTAATTGAATAGTCAAAATAATTTATTTATTTCCCCCCCCCCCAATACATTGTACAGTACGGAGGTTGGGAGTTTTCCCGCAAAATCTCTAATATTGAAGCAGCGGACTTTTTTTTGTCACTGTCCAATCTGGATTGAATAGGACTAAAAGTTTTTGCGGTCTACCCAACATAAGCGAAGATTGATTCTCTTCCGGAAATTTAATACAGTCTGTTGAAAATTAGAATCAGAAACACCCCAGACTAGTAAGTCTCTTTCTGTTCCTTTATTTAGTTCTTTATTCTCCGAATACCGGCAGGTGTTGATTCCGATTGCGTAATTTCACATATGGAAGAATTACGCCGCACGTATTGCGCAATAATGTTTGCGGTATTTTCCCTTGATAATCAATTTTGATGTTCAGTTTGAGATTTGTTAATGAACACTTAAAAGAGTTTTACTGTGCTTTCTAAGCAGAATATTTCTCAGTTCCGTTGGTCTATTTTTATATGATGCATATATCGAAATGTCAAAATCATTTATTTAGCCTAAATTTAAATCTAAAGAACGCCTACAATCTCCCCCACTCCTCTTTTTCCAGTTACTATCCGGAATATATGGGAATTTTCCGAAGTATGCGGGTTAGTTAAGCTTTTACTGTTAAAGGATGACTGAATGAAGCAATTTCCTGTCTTCTGATTTCAGAAATGACCTCTTTTTTATTAAATACTTTGCTTGGAATATATGTTAAGGGAAAACTGTTATGCAATGAAAATTTAGAAAATGTTCAGAATTTTGATTTAAGTTAAATTATTTAAATATTAATATGAGTGAAAAATAAATTGTATTATTATTAGGTGCCAAACGAATATAATTAATATGGCTTATTATTATTTATTTTCTATATTTTGAACTCAAATTTCATCATTAACTCTTCTAATATAGTTTAGTTCTGCATAGTTTTCTTTTCCTCTCATTGTAAACTAATTCTGTAAATTGAACTGTCATTTAAAATTTTTTAAAAAAAAAAGTTAATTTTTTTCCATGGTTGAGGTAATGCCCATTCTCTTAATAAATATTGCATTGCTCATATTTTAAATTACAAGTCTAATTTTTCTTTTAAGGTTATGCAGTTGTGTATAATGTAATTAGACAGGTGCTTATTTTTTCCTTAAAAAGTGCTTATTTTTTTTAACTAAAATGTGGCTACGAACCCTGGATAACGTAGACTGATACTAGAGGTATACTTGAAATTAAATAACGGGTGGCCATAATTAAACTGACAGTGCTCACAGTGTTCTGTAGCGAGATCTATTTGCGAGAATGACGCCAGATTTTGTAGGAAGATTAAACAAGACGAGGACGAAGGATTCCGCGAAAAGAAAAAATAAATAGTTCCAAAAGTTACCGCTAGGGGAATATTTGGCGCTGTGTAATAGAAAATAGAGTGTTAACAAATGCAAATCAATACGGAAATTACCTTTTACTTTGCATTCAAATAAGGTTCAATGTGGCAGCCGTTGTTGTGTGCCACATATTGCATTCTGTGCACAATATGCACAACAGCAGAAAGTAACATGTTTGCAGGAATCTCCCATACAGTCTGTGATATGTTATCCTTCAACATAGCCAGGTCCTGGACCACTCCTTGATAGACTTTGGACTTAAGGTAAACTCATAGCCAGAAGTCACATGGGGTAAGATCAGGCGACCGAGGTGGCCATGCAGTTGGAAAGTAGCGGCTAATGACTCTTTCTGTTGTGAATTTCTGTCGTAGCATCTGTTGTACACGTACAGCAACGTGTGGAGGGGCTCCATCTTGCATGAAAAGGATTTCCCCCAGGCATTGTCTTTGCTGAAGTGCCGGAATGACAAAGCTGTTCAACATGTGGCGATATTTCTCTCCGGTAACAGAACAGGTGTCCGGTCCTGTCGGAGTAATGTTCTCATAGAAGAATGGACCTACGATAAATTGTATTCCGTATTAATTTGCATTTGTTAACACTCTATTTTCTATTACACAGCGCCAAATATTCCCCTAGCAGTGACTTTTGAAACTAATTTTTCTTTTTTTTTTTTTTTTTTTTCGTGGAATCTTTCGTCCCCCGTCTTGTTTAATCTTCCTACAAAATGCGACGTCGTTCTCGCAAATAGATCACGCTACAGAACACTGTGAGCACTTTCAGTTTAATTATGGCCACCCGGTACTTCCTCTGTCTCATAATAATAGTGGCAAGTGAAAATTTAAATGGGAATTATTGGCGAATGCAGCTTAAGTTACGTTTTAACACATTATAAAGCCTTCATTCAAAATGTGTTTCATGACATTTACCATTTATTTTGACACAAGTTTGAATTTTTAGGTTAATGAAATTATTACAAATTATAACTATTTTTCTATATTCATTCGATGATCAAAATCTGCTGATGTTTTATTTCAATTAAATATCAACCCATTGTAAAAAAAGATGAAGAAAAGAGAGCTTTCAATCAAAAATCGAGTTGCAATTATCCAGTTCTTGCTGCATCAAAAGAAAAATGAAAAATTTCAGAAAAGTGCAATTACATAGCTGCAAAACAATTTAAATGCAACAGAATGGTCATATAAAGAAATCAGATCTGGCGTTTAAAAAATAATTGTCAATGTGACTATGCTTATGTTGATTCTTTGAGAAAATAAAACTATGGACGTAAATCCAGAGATTATGAAGAAAAACTTCAAAAACTTAAATATATTCCTCTTGGCAGAAGAGGCACCACAAAAGCAGTAAACATAGTCTGATAATATTTCTCCAAAATACTGGATAATACATTTCTGTCACTTCGGTAAGTTATGCTGCAAGTAGTGATGAATGATGGCTCCAATAATTTTAAGCTCATGGGTGTATAAAGAAAGTAAAGCTTTGCAGCCAAGTGTTCCTACCTACAAGTTTAAAATGCAGTAACATTATTTAAAAATCCAGAAACTCTCTGAACATTAAAAAATAAAAATTACAAGTAATATTTTTAATGTATTGTTTAATTTAATCTAATTTTTGATATTAAATTTTGTTGCATTCTATATTTATTTTCCTTTGCTACTGTTATTATGGGACAGATGGAGTATTACAATAAACCTTATTAGCCAAATGCATAGGTTACATCATTAATACACCACATACAGAAAAATTGTTTTTCCACAAAGTTAACTTTCTACAGGAAAAAAAAAAAAATGAGTTGGGTATAATTCAGATTAAGAAAATGTGTATAAACAATCCTAAATATTGTTGTAATTAAAGGGGAAATGAAACAAATGTTAATTGAAAGAATTTTTTTACTTCTTATAATAAGTATATGATAGAATTATTTTTATAAAATGTTGGCGATTTTTGTTGGGATAATGACTGAAATTAATTCATCTCTTAAAATATTTAGCAGTTTCATAAATGTTTCAATATCTCTCATAAAGCATCCTTTTCTTTCTTCATCTGAGTCAGTCTCCATTGCTAAGTCAAACAGTTCCTGAGCCTTTTCTAACTGTTTTTTTAACTTTTTGTGAACTAAACACACTTTATCTTCTTCGTTATCACTGTTTTCATTGTCTGCTGATGTTATAAAATCATCCAATCTGCATTTTTCATTTCTCAATTAATTCTTTGGCTTCTTCCACATCTGAAAATCCTTTGCCGCCACTGCTTTTGCAATTTGTATGATTCCTTGGCATTGTCATTCGATGCAAATCCTTTAAAATTTTTGACAACTTCTAGCCAAAACTGATTCCAGCAAGTACTTAATGTTGATGGATATGTTGAACCACATATTAATGAAACTCTACAACTGGAAAAATCAAATGGGAAAAAAATTAAGACAATGTATATATGCAAAATCATACTCCGCAAATCCGTGCTCGGCAAGGATTTGGTGTACTTTCTCAATATGATAAAAAATTTTATGAAAGCAGTTCCAACACTGCAGCTAGTTTCGTAAATACAAAATTTAACTTTAAATATGATGCTTATAAAGCTGATCTGCTAAAATTTTCATATTATACATTTATTTCTTTACTGCAGAAATTACAGAGATGAAGTAGAAATAATTTACTGACTTGGATAAAATTTCAGTGCATGTTATTAAGCAAATCTGATCATTTTTCGTTCAGATTTAGGAAGAAAGTGTTAAAAGTTGGCTCATTTTCATAATTAATGGATCTGTAGCAAATAAAACAGAACTCACTAATTCCATGGTACTTTTCTGTTATTGGGACCAGATTCAGAAATGCACGAATGTATGTATGTATGTACGTGTACATGTGTGTTTGTTTACACACAAATGCATACATAATCTGGTCCTGATAACAGAAGAGTATATATTTTATTATACATATATCTTCGAATTTTGCATATAAATGTAATGAAGTTTTTGTGTGTAATTATGAAAGCATTGTCACTATTTTGACATTGTGGCCACTTGGACATTTTATTTTACATGGTCTGTGTAAAATGCTGAATTTTGTATTAAAAACATTTTTCCGAATCTGCTAAAATTATTTTCATAAAATTTTCTACCTTATTTTGACAAGCTTTTTAATTCAAAGTCTATATTTAGGATCAGCATATAGAAAAATGGTACCTGATATTGAAACTCATCAAACTTTCATAGCATTTTAATTCTTATTTAGAATTTTTAATAAAATGTTCATGAAGACATTTTTTAAGAATTCTGAAATGAAGTTTATTTTATTTTTCTATAACTGCCAAATATTTTTGTAAGACAATCACCAAATTAAAACATTGTAGGGATTTGTGTGGTCAGAAAATAAATTTGAAGTGATCCAGTCTGTTTTCAAAATGGATGAAGGTATTTATTCCTGGTTAACTGTGGAAGATATGGTTAAAGTAAGCATTTGTATACAAAGTCACACTTTTCTAACTTATTATACATATTAATAATAATGCTATTTTCCATGCATTTAGTTTTTTTAACAATTAAAATCACATTTTAAGATTAAGTTTTATTAAATCAAGTTTGCAAATATTTTATTGCTTTTAATTACTAGATAGACTCTGAATGAGAATTTTATTTCATTAACTGAGAAAATAGCTACAAATTATATTTTGAACAGCTGTTTCAGTATTAAAAAAAATGCAAACATTCAAAATGTTAACTTAGTTAAGCGAAAACATACATCTTAATAATGAAAAGGCTGTGCAAATTCTAATTTTTGATATTAAATAAAATTGAAAGAAATGAATAGAAAAGTAACTCTTTAATTTAAAAAAAAAAAAAAATTATAACCTTCATCCTGAAGCTAAAAATTATAAATTTACTTTCCAAGAATATTCTGAATTTTAGCATAAATATTTTTTGTGAGTAGCTAATACATAAATCACTATTCTCGTTAGTTCATTGACTTCTTGATTTTGCTAATGCACTTCATTACTGAACAATTAATATGTTCAGCAGTTTTAAGGATCAGCACTGCAGCTAGTTTAATCTCTGGGTTATAAAACTATTTAAATGTAATGCTAATAAGCCCACTATTTTTGATTAATTTCTATCTATTAAAAAATATTTTCACAAATATCTTTCTTCACTTTGAAATTATACTTTTTTTTGTTTGGTGAAAGGAATAATTATTAATATTGTAATAGAATAACAAAAAAATTATTCACAACAATTACCTATGGCAGTAATATTTGAGCAGTCCTTCAAATACAGTAATTTAGGATTCTGTGATGATACTTAACAGCTTAAAAAAAGATAATAAGCTATTCAAAATACTGTGGAATCTCAGACAGCAGCAAATTTTCAGAATGAAAAGTTCATTTTCTCGTATAAAGAACATTACCTTGAGATAAAAAAGGAAAAGCTGCCATTAAATGATGCTCCAGAATGCAAAGACTCGCGACATGCGAGTTTTATTTAAAATGATATCATAACAAAAATATCTGCACACAAACATCAGAGGGATCTAAGGCAAGAGATTACTGAACAATTAATATGGCCAGCAGTTTTTGAGGATCAGCACTGCAGCTAGTTTAATCTCTGGGTTATAAAATTTTTTAAATGTAATATTGGCAAGAGATTGTTATTTCCTGTATGGCATCCGCTCTTACTTTCACTTAAATGTTACTGTGATATGTGTTTGTTACATAAATTATTAAATAAGATACTATGCTGCAAAAAAGGATAATGATAACAGCAAAACAAAAAGAAAAACAAGACTAGAATCATAAGAGGTTAAAAAAGAAACTGTAGACAAATACAAAAATGATGTTTATATTTCTGATCTTGCTGCTCACTTTGCTTTATTTATTAGAAAAAGCAAAATCAACAATCTGCAATATTTTCAAAATTAAAGAAACAATCAAAAGAGCCAGTGTTGAAAAAAAAGGACAGTTTTTGGTAAACAAAGATCACTGATGATTGAAGAAAAGAAATTACTGCTCATTTGGATAAATAAGTGAATGTTAGTTGATAACAGTATTTCTAAGAGCATCAGCTATATTATTAAGTAATGAAAAACCTGTATATATGTTCCTCACACTGTGCAAAAACTATAACACCCAGAGCCCCCAAATTTTGAACACACATAGTGCTCCACCTGAACATGTGCACCTTGAAACCTGAATTTTGAAATCATTTTTATTTAGTTTATAATTTTTGCTATATTAATGTAGTTTTGATTAAGAGGTTTGGCAATTTAAAAGCAGTGTTGCCACTCAACATAAGATATGTTTCAAATTTTATCAGAAATTTCAGTAATTTAAAAAAAAAAAAAATAATAATAATAAAATAATAAATAAAAAAAAAAAAAAAAAAAAAAAAAAAGGAAGTTGCCACAAGGAAAAGTGTAATATATTTGTATTCCAAATTTAGCCAACAGACTCAAGGATTTAACAGAAATGTGTTGCCACAGCCCAAATAATGTGTTTTTTTCTTCGATGCACCAATATGTTTTTTTTTGGGGGGGGGGCAAAGTGTAAGATATTTAATTTTTATTCCAAATTTAATCTATCTGTTATCGGTTAATAAACTAATGTGATTTAAAAGCAATAAACACAGTTCACCTGTTATAATTAATTACTAGCTGGACTCAATAAAATTATTATATATTTTGCCTTTTTTATAAACACAGCTGGCCATATAAGCAGCTACTTTGTGGAGAAGGGGGGGGGAAGACGAGTGCATGACAACCTGGTAAAAAATGCTCTTGTGTGAGAATGATGATAGATAATGATGTTTTTAAAGCTGCTAGAGGATGGTTTCAGGCTTTTAAAAAAAGAAGTGCTAAATATAATAGCATAGTTAGGCATTGAAAGATTGAGGAATTTCTGCAATGTTTTAGTGACTATGTAAAAACTGAAGACTTTTTACCCAACAAGGTTTATTAACTGGTGTATTGAAAAAAAAAAATGCAAAGGAGAATGTATATCATCCAAAACAACGTAGCATTACCTGGATACAAGTCAGTGAAGAGTATGCTAAGCTTTTTATTTGCCTCATGTGTGAATGAATGTAAAAAAACAGTTCACTGAAGAGCCTTCTTGTGACAGGTAATGCACTTGTTCACCCTCCAGGGTTGGCAGACAAGTTAATAAAAGAGTAAGATTTCATCACAGTGAAGTTAATAAAATTAAATAATAAAATTTATGCTAAGTTTTATATCAGAGTTCTATTTTGTGTTTTATAGTTAAGCTGTATTAGGGACGATAAGTCACCAAGAACTCTATTTATGGATAACTATTAGGACAAATAGTTTTATATTTTATACCATAAAAGTTGCACATTTAGCCGTAAATGAATGCTTAAAAAAACTGAATTGACTAAACCATAGTGAAATCTGTTGTATAGTTTTATATCCCAAAAATATTGCTACAAATAGTAAAAAAAGTGGCAAAGAGGTCTCTGAAAAGGCAAAATTTCGAATGACAGTTTGGTGCCAGTACCTGATATCGCAGTTACAGAACTTGAACAGTAGAACTTAGTAACTGAATAATAAATTATGTTTACCTATAAACTTAAAAAGAAAGTATTAACACAAAAAACAAGGAAACTTAAACAATTACATTACAAGAAATTACCAATTAAACAAACATTTAAATATTGAGCTTTTTTAGTAAATTTCGATTCCCTGAAGATAATAAATGTTTCATTGTTTCATAAACAATTATTTCCTGCTTTTAAGTTTATAATTTATTCATGTTGATCTTGTTAATCTGATGACCTAAAATCTGGAAATTTTTGGAATCGTTCAGGTCCCGATCACAGAATTTTTTACCGTATCCGATTCAAAAAGTGCATATAAAATTAAGTTATTTTATCAAATTAAAATTTGTTTTGTGAATGAAAACCGCATTACTTGATCTTGTGTCTTAAATATAAAGCAATCATATATTTGAGTATATATTCTTCCTTTCTTTCAACAACTTAGTTTTTCAAGAATTTTGCTATAAGCTTAACAGATGAAGAACCGAGTCCAGAAGAATTCAAATGTGAGCAGATTTATTGTGGTTATATGGATGACATACTAAATACAGATCAGGCCTGGAAGGAAGTGGAATTATGGCATATCCATTATAACAACTGGACAAACATACAGAGAAAGTTCAAGGTACTCAAAACTTATTTCAAAATACGATGCAACTAAAAATTGCACTGATTTTAAATTTAAGTTTTATTTAAAATCTATGCCAGATTACTTGGTTGCTTTTTTTTTGCCTAATTTTAAATTACACTCTTGCATGTTTCTCTTCCAATTTAATCGAAATATATCAGTGACAATCATGCACATGCGAAGGCTAATTTGAGATGTGTGCTCAGTCTGCATGTCAGTATATGCCAAAACATTAGTTTTGATGCATGTTATGCCAATATATATTGACTCTTTCTGTATAAACAATTCAAAATCACAAAGAGAGGTTTCTGAAGAAAATATTAAATAGTCTGACCAAAAATTTTTAATTTATCATCAGGCATATGGCATCTTTAAATCTTTTGAGCTGATAATATGAAATTAACAATGATGCAAGCTGTTTGCACTCAACATCTGGTTTGCCAGGGGCAACTTCCACTATTAACTCAAACTCGCAATTCATCCAAAAGCATTTGAAAAAACACAGGAACACTATAATTAACAGAAAAATACTATAAACAAATTACCTTAATTTTCATGCATTTGAATCTAAAGAATAAGTTAATTTTGTTATACTAAAAGTTTATAATAGTTCATTATGTCATGAATAAACTTTTTTTACTTTCTTTTTAAAGACAGATTGTTTCATCCGTCCCCAAGGAGTTGACTTTGTAAAAATATTTCAACACTTTTCTATCATAATGGGATTATCAATAAAAAAATGCCATTTGAAAAATAGTTTCATTATCAATTATAAATAGAAACATCATGGTCATTTTTTATTTCCATATAGTCTTCAGTTAAAAAAAAGGGAAAGAAATATATAAGATGTTTAAAAGAAGCTGATTCAAACACTAAAAAATAAGCACATGCTTAAGGCATCAATACTATGGGAGCACTATCAAAATTTCTAACTGTTGCTTTTACTGTAGAATGCATGATGCAGCTAAATTAAGACGGAGAGAAAGAATGGAATTAAAAATGATGCAAATGTATGTATGGGCATCAAAATCTTTTTTAAATTCTTAGGGCCTGTAAAATCATAATCCAGTCCTAGTTCTTTATTTCTTAGATGGCGCCAATATATTTTTAAATCTGAATATACAAAAACCTATTAAAAATTTTATCCCATTAAATTAAAGTTCTATCCAATTTTACAAAACTGAAGCAGAAACTGACCTTTTTTAAGAACCAATTCTATGAATCACTCAGCCATATATATTATGAATGTCATGAAACTTGGCCAAAAATAGTCATCTCTCTTATAAACAGCATCAACTTCTGCATTATAACATAGAACTTTCAGTGTTAATACTCCAAATTTCATTATTTTCAAAATTCAGTAGTTTCAGAAAATAAAAAATTCAACAGCTTTCATAATTGAATTATTGATAAAATAGCAGGGCAGGGTTGATAAAAACAAAATAAATTTCAGCACTGCCATCAAAATAAGTAAATAAAAGTGGTAAATCGCACACTACATTATTACCATGCAAGAATTGTGTGAAGCACTACTAAATCCCTGCTAAATTTTATATAACATTGCAGATAGACAGCACTAACATGGTCCCCATACCCCCGATTCTGTATTAAGCCACAGAAAATGTATGTAGCTTAAAAGCCACCAAGTTGAAATAAATATTTTTAATTCAATCTCTGATTCAATGTTTAGATCCAAGAAATAAAACTGCAAAAGAACTCTAATTTTTTTTTTTTAAATATTTATTTTTATTTTTCATAATCATTTTCTAGGCTGCTACTAGATGGAAAGTATTATCAGAAGAAGTCTTTATAAAATTGCCATATGGGCAGACAATTCTTTTGCAAGATGTTATACGTTCTCTAGGAGAAAATTCTCCCTAGGTTTGCATGGATTTTGTTTTATACACAAGTTATAATTTAATGAAACTTTTTAATCTAAATTTCATATGTATGAAATATATTGTTAGTTTTCAGTTTTTTAAACACATCTACATAGCTGACTTATAAGATTATTTATTATCATACATTATTTAAATGAATCTCTTTGTTTAGCAACTAATATTGAGTTTAAATTTCATATGTGTGAAAGATGTTAAACTTGTTAAAAGTTTTAGAAATGCTTTTTATACAGCTAGTTTATTAAATTATGCAAAAACATATGTGCATAATACTTTTGTCTGTATTTTAGTTATAAATCAAATTAAAATGCTATAAAATATAAATTTTTATTATTTCATTCATTCCTTTTTCTCCCCTACAAAAAAAAAAAAAAAAAAAAAAAAATATTAAATGAGAGGCCATTGAGAACAAAAAATAATAAACAGTAATCTGTAAAAGTCTTTATGTCAAAATTCTCTAAAAAAAGAAAATTTTATATGATGCTTGGAAAGGAGGAAAGACAAACTTATTCAGTTGCACTACAGCCTTTCATAGTCCAAGTGTGCAGGCAAGTTTTAGAAGGCAGGCACAAATTAGTGTTGTGCTCCATCAAGATATTGTGAACTGTGCTACGTTTCTTCTTTGGCCGAAGGGAATGTGCAGGCAAGCCTCAATATTTATTTAACATCAAGTCTGTTCACAGCGACCGCTCAATGATAGAGTGAAATAGAAGGCTACAATTGGTTTCTCTTCCTTCTGTTGCTGGGCTCCGAGGGTGTAGGACGGTCTTCTGGTTGTCCTTACCCAGGATGACGCGTGAGCCATTTTGTTCTTTTTCGACCGCCATCTCAATATTGTATGAAGAGCAATATATTCCTCCTATAAAGAAATTAGTACTGAAGGTTCAACTAAAATAATGTAGACTAACTGCCGCTGTAAATTGACGATGTTCTACAATTAAAAAAATCCTCGAAAGGACTTCATGTGCACGTGTTCCACTTTCCGGATGATATGATTATTCACCTTGTGTTTCTTCAAAAATATACTGGAATAACCAGTCAACTCAATTTCCGTCATTATATAATTTACTTTTTTTATCACGGAACTTTGCTTGACGTTGATGTAATGAGATCTACTTGGATTGGAACATGACGCACGTCTCGTACGAAAAGTTAGGATTCAAAAAATGGTAGGACTGCGACTTTCGGCCTCTACATGATCACGACTGATATTCTTCTGTCTGGCGATATTTATTCAATTTATGCTGGTACCGATTCAAAATTTAATGATGCCAAGATATAATAAATATTATTTAATTTACATTATCTGAATTGTCATCCTTTGGGAGTAAGTTATTAGTATTTCTGGCTTATTGCGCTATTTTTTATTACATCAAGGCCATCTTAACAAGCTTCCTCCAACGGATCTGATTAGTCGCTATGGTTCGCCAATGACAGATTTTTAGAGTCCTGAGATCTGCCTCTGTGCGATGTCTTCCTCTTTTCCTGGTATCTTATAGGTTTGCAAAAATAAATAATTTATTTAAAAGGGTCCGGACAGCATCGATGGTATTTTTGTAATCAAAGCTATATTGTAAACTAAGCAAGGTTCTCGGTAAACAGAAGAGAAACACCCTCTAATGACATTACAAATTAATTATCTATGAGTTTCCTCGACACTTCTCATCTGATAATTTTGCAAAATTATCACTACTTTAGTATACAAAAAATAATGATTTCAAATGTAAGAAATCTGCTTACATGGCACATTTGCCTTCTGTTAAGATAAACAGGAAAAGGGAAACTATAAAATTAGCAAATGTAGTTAACAGCATAAGAATTCAAAAGTTACTCTTAGTGAATATTAAATTTAATTGTAAGCAGTAAATTCTAAGCAAAAACTCGGCTAATTAACTAAAAGTTATATAAGTGTACATGAAATATAAGAAAATTTAATAAAATTTATTTATTCTTTTCATTTCTGTCAAGTTCAAGGGGTCAAAATCATCTGCATAATTCTTTTAAAATCTCCTCTTTTAGATACATAATTTGACTTAGAATGTCAGAATTTATTTCCATTATCTTGTTATAAGAGATTTAACAGGAGTTTGCTTAGCCTTCGCTATTTCCATTTTTAAATCAATTTCTACCAATTATATCTTTGTTTAACTAAGTTTCTCTTTCGATTTTATGTACACTAAGAAGAGGAGTTAGAAGTAATTTGCAATACAAAATCCATTTCATAACAACAAGGAATAGTAAAGCGTACCCTGTCAAAGATTAAGGCATAATCTTATTCTTACCCACTTACTCCAAACTGTAGCATATCCATTTGCTAAAAATATTAGATGATTTTTATTTTGCATGCCTCTAAGCAGGAAACATCCCTGAAGATTTTACACCGCATTTTTGATATCAAAACACAAATTGTTTACATGACCTTGAAATGACAGTAGCACAATAATTCACCCCCCTCAACACATGACCAAAAATAAAAACTGATAAAGTACTTAGTTACAAAAAGAAATAATTTATTTCCTTAATCATTTGGAGAATTTTCTCAAAAACTTGTTTCTACAAGCAACATAATATGAAGTATTTCATATTAAAGCGTTCATTTTTTTATTACAAATTAAACAATCAACATGTTTTGGTTCTAGTTTAACTCTCCAGCATCACAGGTTTAGCTCAGAAATTTCAGTTTCTCAAAATGTCATAAATTACTGGTATTTTCTTGATTATAGTTAAAAATGATTCTCTCACTTTGTATCTTGATTCCTTTTCTTCTAATATAAATCCAACCCAAAATCAGATATATTAAAAGCTGGCAGAAATTTCCATGTGTAATGAATATGAAAGCAACCCTTCTGTATGAAATTTTCCATTCATAACTCTGAGAGGGTTTAAAGTAAAATATTCTTATGTAATAAAAACTTTTACAATTTGAGACTGAAACTTTGTCTGTACTATTATTTAATATGAAGAAAATAAATTCACTTTACTACATATTAAAAATAATATTACACTACATTCATCAAAAAATATTATATATGTGACTAACGTATGCCATCAATGTGTAAACTTTAGTTTCTAAAGTTAGCAAAGCCATACACAGTCAGTTTGCATCATAACTGTGTGAAAATTGACAAAAACAGATGCTATATCATATCAAATCATTTCTGTATCCAATGAAAGATTGGATAGAACTTTCATAGTTATACTGAAGGGTCATAATTAAAGCAAATCGACTGTATAAGATAATTAACTACAAATATTTGGTTTACATAAAGAAAGAGAATTACTCACGCTGAACGAATAAGCAATAATATACTTTTGCAATTTTCAAATATTTTAATGTTTTTTTAATTATTTATTTATTTAAAGAAAAAGAAATCCTCATGTACTACAAAGTATCACACGAGACTTACAAATTGTAAGCAAAAAAGGCAAAATTATAAGTAATAATATCAGTTTTCAATAATATAATGAAATCATACACAAAGAAAAATAAACACAAAAAAGTATAAAAATGTATAAAGAAATCATTTACAATATTTAAAATAAAAGTCAACAAAATTCTTGAAAGCTTGGTAGGCCGAAGCTGAAGATATAAAATCATAACATTTCGGCGGCCAATGAATTTCAATTAGTTTTAATCTGCATTTCAATATCTTTCTTGCTTTATCAAGCTATGGGCAGTCAAAAAGCAGGTGGAAAACACTTTGCTGAATGCTAAGATTGCAATAACACAAATTGGAAAATGTCAGCTTAAATCGTTCAAGATAAACATTAAACTTACCATGTCCAGACAAAAGCTGTGTATATTTTAAAATTGTGCAACAAGTCCTTACTTTTCAATCTTTCAAAAATAGTTGGGAAGAATGTTTTTGCAACAGATCCCTTATCAGAAGAGATATAATCACAGTTCCACTGCTCAATCATTTTAGCTTTGAATGTTTTTTTTTTTTTTTTTTTTTTTTTTTTTTTAATAAAATTTTGGAATATTTACATCAACATTAATATCATTTTTAGTTGCATTCTTAGCAAGCCAATCAGCTCTCTCGTTTCCATAATTACCCAAATGACCACGGACAAATGTAAAAAACACTGAAATACCCTTCTCCAGATCTCCGAGAGACTACTGTATATTAACAATAATATCATTACATAAAGAGGTTTTTTTTAAGGGATTCCAGGAAAGAAAGTGAATCCATACAGATTAAGTAGCTGGAATCACGTCTGTCCTGGCTAATTATTTACTTAATTGCAAAATTAATACACAGAAGCTCAGAAATATATACAGTATATTCATTTCTAATGCGAAATTGCTGACACTTAATTTCAATATAATCTTCAAAAATAACATAAGCAAAACCAACTTTATCATCAATCCTACTACCATCCGTATACAACACAAGTGAGAATGAATTTACATCAGTGTTCATACTATCCAGAATCTATACTGGTTGTCTAACAGAATGATGTGGAAGAACAGACAAGGGCAATAAACAATCAAAATGAGAACTGGAGTAGTTTGCAAGACTATTCTTGTAATCTATAAAGGTCAGAATAAACAAATCCAGTGGTGGAAATCCTGCAAGAGAGAAAACAGCGTTGTTACTAACAGTTTGGTAACCTCTTATAACTCGCAGCAAAATTCGTCTTTGAACTCAAAGCAGGTGTTTAATTTTATTTTTTAGAGACAATCCCCAAACTCTACATCCATATGAAGTAAAGGGTACAATGCCGTGTTTATAAATAATTGCGCTAACATTCGATTTAACACCAAAAATATTACATGCAGTTCGATTCAGCCCACAATGAAGTCTCTCACGTTTATTGGAAATATGCTTTTTCCAGTTTAATTCTGTCAAACAAAACACCTAAATATTTAATTTCATTTACCCTCTCAAGGGCATTATCATTTAAAAGCAATTGATATCCTTCATAAGTAGTATTTTTTCTATCAATACACATGGTCTTGGATTTTGCATGGTTAAAGTTTAACTTAAAATGTATTGACTGATGATAAAATCTAAAATGTCTTGGGCAAGATGAAAAGCTTTTTGCATTTCTTTTCCTTGAATACAAATCATCTGCATAGGCAATGGCTTCACAACTGAAGAGATCATTCATAATAATAATTTAAAGCTTGGGACCGGAAACAAAGCCTTGTGGACATCCTCTCCGAGGTCGACGAACATTTGAGGTGCCACCCAAAAAAAGCTCGACAATCCTGTCTTTCAACAAATCAGAAACATTAAACACATTACAGTCAAAAGTCGTTAATTCGGACACCCATAATCCGGAATGATCTATAATCCGGACCTCAAAGCTAAAATCTTTCTGCGCATGTGCATAGGCGTTTTACGCGTGCACGCAAGACATTTACGACTGCGCATATGTGTCTGCGCAAGCGCAGAATACGTTTTCGCGTGCGCGTTTAATGTAAAACGGACGGTATAAGCTAAAATTATATAATTATCTATTTCAGTTAATGTTGCATGATTGCGTTGTTCGTTAATCTTCCAAATTGGATCCTGTCTTATTATTTTTTGCAGACTGCTAAGAGCAATTTTATAAAAGTAAAGTTAGAACTTTCAATTATGTCAAATAGAATTTCCGATGCTGGAGCTCCCAAAGGATCTAGAAAGCAGTATGCTTCGATGTCCATCAAACAAAAAGTACGAAATGCTGAAAAAATGGATAAAGGCTCCTTTGTTTCTCTAACCATTCCGTAATCTGTTTATCAATTTCGCGCTGCTCTGCGCTGGGGGGAGGGGGGGAACGTCGCAGCATGCAATGAACTGGAAGTTGATCTGTCAGCACTATCGTTATCTTCAGGGCAGATGGTTTTATTTTATTCGGCTTATAATTCCTTATTAAATGTAGTATTTAATCTCGATGTACTCCGTCTTTGATATGATTAAATCAAATTTCTCGTCATTATAAATATCACGAATACAAATCAAATAGTTTTCTGGTTGCAATTTTGTATAATTCCGGCTATGCGTAGGGTATGCTTTACGCATACGCCGTTTAAAGAAATGTTTAATAAGTAAACAAATAAATATTAAGCTTATTTTTTTGTAAATTTTTATACCCTTTAGATCAAATTGCTCATTTTTTATAAATTACGCTTTCATATTTTTAATTTATAATTTCTGCATGCCATCTTACCAGATTTAAACTTATGATCTATAATCCGGAAAAATCGATAATTCGGAATCGTCGAAGTCCCGACGAGTCCGGATTAAAGACTTTTGACTGTATGAGGTATTTTAATTTCTTTTAGTAAATTAAGAATAGCAGGCCACCATGCATTATCGAAAGCTCCTTCAATATCAAGAAAAATTAAAATAGTGTACAAACCTTGCCATCTTGCCTCTCTGTACAATGTTGCTAAGATGCAGAAGTGCATCCTCAGTACATTTTTGAGCAATGAAACCATATTGATCAGCACTAAATATTTTCCTTATGTAGATGCTAAGTAATTCTGTTAGTAATTAGTTTTTCAAAACATTTACCTAAAGAATGAATATTTTAATATTATTTGAATGTTGAATATTTTAATGTTCAACGATGAAATCACCATCATGCCTTTAATTTTATTGCTGAAAATTAACTTTTTATTAAAAGAGAAACAGTGTTATCTCATATTTTATACCCCCCCCAAAAAAAAAGATCTAGTCAAGTTAATACTTGTAATATAACAGATTATTTTTACCATCAACTGTATCAGAATCTAAAATTTCAATAGGTAATTTGTGTATGGCAATAAACAAAGATCTAGTTAAGTTAATACTTGTAATATAACAGATTATTTTTACTATCAACTGTATCAGAATCTCAAATTTCAATAGGTAATTTGTGTATGGTTAGTTTAAAAATACTTTTAATTTATTTATTAATGAAAACTCATGATTGTAAATAAAATACATGTTTTAAAAAAAACTGTACTTGTTTTTGCCAGCTGCCTAAAATGAGTTTTTTCCTTATGCAATTATCATATACGAGCTAAAAATAAAGCAATTTCTAAAATAAGGCAGTTTTAATATTTAAAAATATTTTTTTCCATACTTATGGCCAAACCTCTATTTTATCACTAATTTATGATTTCAAGCTTTTCAAATATTTGAAGATCTACATTTAAGCATAACTGTTTCTTTCACCAATGTAACTAATGAATAGTGAGAGTTTTAAATTATTACCAAAAATATGTATATTTGATAAATTAGTAAAGTAAAATTAAATACAGCTGAAAGGAGCCTGTTAAAAATTTTTATTTATAATTTCATATTTGGCATTTGATTCAAGGCGTCAAACGTTTTGGATCTCTTGGAAACATAGATGTTTTCCTAATATTGTTTAATCCCAAATAAAGCATTGTTACTCGCTCCAAACCTATAAAGAAAAACATATATATTATTTAAACAAGAGAAAACGTTGTAATAAATTCAGTTTTATTATCTATCATGCCATCTGGATCAAATATGTTCAGATTTAATCCTTTCCCAAAGACTGTACCAGCAAGAAATGCACACATCTTCCAGCTGGTAAGCTTTTTTTGTTCACCCTCGGCCTCGGTCGTTGTGGCAGTGTCTGTATTCATTACTTTTGAACTCAATATAGTTTTAGGATTCTGACCTTCAATTCGATCACGTTCTGCATAACATTGATGTCAGCTGTTGCGGAGGAAGAGCGTAATGTAAACAAACATAGCTCGTCCCTTTAACTCACCATGTGATTGCACATTCACATTTCAGATATCCTTTTTATTCTACATATGTATGGTCTTTTACAATTGCCATGTGGGGGCCTATTATACTTTGCATTGCTTTTATTGCTTATATTTTGTGAACTTCTCTTTTTATTTTGGAAAGCCTTGACTTATTATAGGGAGCAAACATTACTTATCCGATGAAAGGATATACTCACATGGTAAATTAGCCAATTAGTGACACGAATGAGAGTGATGGTTTACTTTTTAAAGAGTTAGAGAGTGATATTTCTAGTGATTCTCATACGGACATTTTGTTAGAGACTGAGTTCACAGAGTGTCTGCCTTACAGTTCACGTGAAAGATTTTGTTACTTCTTTTTGTAAAATGTCTTTCTTGTATTTCTTGTTAATATAAAAGTTTATTAATGTATTTATTTTATCAATTAAAACTTCGGAATAACTTGAATAACGGTTCTGAAAATTCTTTCTCAAAGTAAGCAAATTTGTTTTATATATTTTCATGTAAAGTAAAGAAAAAGTTTATTATATGCTAATTTTAGCATATATGATAGCTTTAGTAATGGTCTAAAATAGTACCGAAAATTATGACAATGGGATGTAAAAATGTTTTTGTGTGTATTTTCCTCCCTAAAGTTAGCTTTTCGGTTACAAAACTCTTGTCCTGTGGGATGATTCCTTTCAACTCCCATCAGTCCTGAGGGAACATCTTATACAAAGGCATGCCATCTTGAAAAGGTTAAAAATCTATATAAAGGTGTCTGCAGTATGCTAATCAGGTTTTCATGGTCAATTAATTTTTTGTTTTGTATGTCAATTCCAATTAACACTTTCCACACCCTTACTGTATATTGCTGAACAAACTTATAAATCATTAATTATGAGCATAGAAAGCAGATTATCTGGCACTCAGTGACAGCCCCAAAACTCTACATGCAAATTCAGAAGCCTGGATTGAAAATAACATCAAATGTTGAATTTCTTTATTCTTCATTCTTATGTCTTAACTATACTTGTTTTGTAAGCTAAAGATGACATTTTAGCAGTACTGCATTATTATAATGGCAAATTCTCATATGAATTATCTTGAATAAATTTGAGATGGGGGTTAAAACCTAAAATAGCTCTCAGAATGTTGCATTGGTACAAAAGAAAGCTAACTTGAACTGCAAGTAAACTAAAATGTCTGAATTATTTTCTCAGTTGTTGTAACAGCTAAAACACATCAAACATATTTCTCTGTAACAGCGGACAAATGTGTTTGATCCAGATGACATGATGGTCTCCATATGCAAATAAATACAGTGTAAAAACATGCCAGTAAACATACATTAAAAATTACTTAAGTTTATTAAAAAAGGTAGAAATAAAATTGTAGTTTTAATTTTATTAAGTATGTGTAACAGAATTAATAACTAATCTTAAAATACACTAAAAGAATACAGTTATGTAATAATCTGGTTTTGCTAGAGCTATGTTACGAGATTTTAGCCATTAAATGGTCAACTTAAATTTCTTTTATCAAATTTTGGTGCAGGCAAAATGACAGTACAGCACTTTTAAGAGTCGATAATACATGTTTTAAATACTACTCAGCTCTAGATAGTAAAATTGGAATGAAAAATGTTTCACAAATAACAGACTTTTATTACAGTACAAAGTCCGTAATACAGACGCCCACTATCCGAAATGATCTATAATTCGGACCTCAAAGCCACAAACATTTTTTTTGTATGCTTTACGAATGCGCTTAAAAGAATGCGCATACATTATGTGCCCTATACTTCCACAGTTATAACACCCTGGTTCGTTACTCTTATTAGTATAGCGCATGGTTTATTTTGTGTGTTAGTACTTGAATAACCCTTATTCTTCGTATCTGGAACGTGGATTTTCTCAAATTTTTAATTCCTCTTTGAATTCAGAAATAGTTTTACACCCATGCAAAATAATTTTGTTACTACTCTGATCAAGTATGCCATTGATTACATAATCAAGAATTGATGAATCACCAACAGAACCGAGACTGGCTATTTCATGCATGACAATTAAATATTCGGAAAGAGATTCACCAGGTTTTAAGTGTCGTTTAAGTCCAGACATAGTCTAAATGAACCTCATTTTTTCTACTTAGCACGACATTACTTGCGTAATCAGAACAGCTTGGCTTAATGATTTGTTTCTCTAACCATTCCGAAATCCGTTTAACGTCGCGGCGCGCAATGAGCTGGAAGTTGATCTGTCAACACTATCCTCATCTTCAGGGCAGATGTTTTTATTTGATTCGCCTTATAATTACTTACTAAGTGTAGTATTTCATCTCGATGTACTTTGTCTTTGATATGATTTAAATCAATTTCCTCGTCATTATAAATATCAGGAATACACATCAAATAGTTTTCTGGTTGCAATTTTCTAATTTCGACTATGCGCAATGTATGCTTTACCCATGCGCGCATTGAAAGAAATGTTTAATAAAGTAAAATAAATATTAAGCCTTTTTTTGTACAATTTGATACCCTTTAGATTATAATTGCTCTTTATTTCATAAATTATAGTTTCATATTTTTAATTGTATAATTTCTGCATGCCATCTTACCAGATTTAAATTGATGATCTATAATTCGGAAAAAATCCTAATCCGGAATCACCAAAGTCCCGACGAGTCTGGATTATGGACTTTGTACTGTATTATTATTTTATAAGATAATTAAAAATATATAAAAATTCATACCTATACCCCCACCAGCATGAGGTGGTGCACCATATTTGAATGATTCAATATAACTTTTGATTTTTTCTAAATCTGAAAGAATTATAAGAATGATGCATAAGTAATAAATTATAAAACAGAATATGCAATATAGTAACTTAGATATCTTAAAACATGTTTCTTCGGGAATAATCAAAATAATGAAGATGCCCAAGATGAGAGAAAATGCAATTTTTTGTAGATATAATACCTCAACACACAGAAATTTATTCATGAATTTATGATGGACACTGGACATATGCAATGCCATATCAAAGTGCGGTCAAACTGCAGGCATTATCATCAGTATTGAGAATGACACCATACAATAAATCATTATCAATTTTAAAAAACACTGGGCTGCAAACTGATTCACAGGAGTTGCAAAGTGAACATCTTACAAAGTGTGGAAAATAATTTGGTAACGATTGGCAGATATCTCTCATTATGGAAGTAAATATTTACAGATGTGTTTATACAGGTTGAATGACTGATAATAATAAAAACAGTGTGATAGATATGTTGTCATGTCCCAATCAATAAAATTATGTTAACCTGCAATGATCATGTCTAACTTATTTTGTGAACTTCCTTTTATACTGAAACACATTTTTGCAATTTTCAGATTACCAATATTAAGGTTTGATTCATTAGGAAACTGTAATGTTTAAAAAACAAATCAAGAACTTACTAATGCCATGTTCTGTGGCTCTCAGTCGAAGGAAATCAGGGTCATGAATACGCTGACTTCCGGATATAATTTCTTCTCCTCTCATATACATATCATATGAGTTTGATAATTTCTGTGAAAATAAAATTATTGATTAAAATGAAATTTCATACAATCAGCAATGTCTTGAAGGAGAACTATACTGCCCTCCTTTCTAGGGCAGTACTTTTAAACCTGAAAGAATTTTCAGTAACATAGTTTTCAAAATTGGAACAATTGCAACATATTTTAAAAGACTACGTAATTTTTGTAACATTTACTCAAACATTCAATACATTATGTAACATTTTTATATTTTAAATACAAAAAGTCCAAATTAATCTCTATTCTTAAGGTAAATAATAATTTTTTATTAAAATATTTACTTCATAACAAACTAAAATTTACAAAATTTATGTAATTTAGAGATAACTATAAATATTTGACAGTAAAAACCTGTTAATATGCTTAAAATTCTGTTTTCATATGCCCACAGAAAAAAATGTGGATAATTTTTAAGCAAAATAGTCTATATTTATGTTAACACATGAGGAAAACCTCATTGCAACCAGTCCATGCATTTGCCAGAAATGAACTTGACAAGTAAAATGCAACCAGTTTGTTATCTAATGGATGTTTGCATTCTTACAAGAACATTCAGAAAAGGAGTATATAAAAACAAGATAAATAACAAATGTGATGTACTAGAAGCAATCAATGTTTTCAGACATTTAAAATAAATGGCACAATATATACTAGAATTTATCTGCCCATGTATACATTAAAATATATTTGCCTAAAATAAATTATTCATTCAGTTCAAAGATGTGCTTCATGGTTTTTCTCCTGAAAATTTAACAAAATAAGTTGTTAACGTATTATTCCCTTCTGGTATTATTAAATGTAATGAAAACTTTTGTATGAAATAATTTAATTTTCATTAAAACTTTGTGTGAAAGCTTCATTTCAAGAAATATGGTAAATCCCATATTATTATCACATTTAATAGTCACATGACAATTGTAACTCATCATTGTATGATATGACAAGAAAACCGAGGACAAGCTATACTCGTGAATTTACTGCATGGGATTAATCTATAAATAACAGTTTTAAAATGTTTATTGTATACACAGATTTTTTTATTTAATCCTTCTGTAGTAAATAAATGGTAAAGTATTCTTCAATCACAGTAATTACTGCACATAAAATAAAAAAAATCTGCTTACTGGATTATTGGGATCTGGCATTGTATAAAACGGACGGACTTTCAAAGGAAATTTGTCCAATATATAAAAATCTGTATCATACTGTAAAACAACAAAATTATACACATTTATGCATACTTCTAATAAACTGTTTTAAATAGTTAACATTTGAATTCATGTTGATAAAATATTAACATAAAAGTAAACAGAAAATAAAATGACTATAATAACTTAACAATTAATGAAATTTTGAAGTAAAAATCCTTTAAAAGATGCCATACAGTCAAATATATTGATTTTAACAAGTCAAACTTTATGCATTTTATAATTTTTTATCGGTAAACTGATTTATTTAATAGAAACATATCAGTTATGTATTTATTGATTTTTGTGTGTCTCTTTACCATCATGTACACTGCAGGCGATAAAAAAAGGGGGGAAAGTTCCATATCTCTGGTTCTACTGGACCAAAATCAACTTGTGTTTTTCATTCCTTGAAAGCGCGACTTAGGACATGTATTATATTTATATATAGCATTGTTCTAATATAACAAATGACACAAAATCGGACGTTTTCTGAATTAACATACCAATTATTTTCCATATTTCAATTCTACAACTGAAATTACGCCAAACTACCAAGTTTTGTAAAAATCGCACAAGTAGTTTTTAGAAAACTAGCTCTCAAAATTTTCTCCTCCATGTTAAATGAGTTTGGTATATATTTATTAATCTCCCTCTCTCCTTTTTTATTTAATTTTAAAATTTGTATTTTTAAATAATTTTTAAAAATTTTTCAAAAAAATTTTAACAATAATCAATAAAATTTTTACCATCAGCTTAAAGTAGACGTATTTCTAAAGATACCTGCAAAACTGTTTAATCTTACTGTTTTTTATTCAAAATTTATGAAGATATATGTGATTTTATATATTGGCACGTTTTGAAATTTGTATATGTGTTGAAAGCAATAAAACATTCAAATTTGGTTTTAGACACTTTGCTAAAATTATTTGAAAGTAGGAATAATGTGACTTTTTTCCACTCATGCACAATAGAAAAAGGTAGGAATGAAGTGCCTTTTTTTCCACTCCGGTATAATGGAAGGAAAAGGAAAATTGGTTGTCATATAATAAGAAGTTCGCCAAGTAAATTATTCTTGGCGAAAACTAAAAAAAATTGTGCCAAGATAAACATTTGAATTTCTCCGTAAATTTTGCACCAAATTTTACAAAGCTCCATGTTTTCGACAGAAGCTCTGTAACTGGAGACTGCTATTGTCAGGATGTGATTCTTCCCCATGTGTGTCTGTTCGGTAGTGCCATTGGAGCAGACTTTGTTTTTATGGATGACAATGCACAGCCACGCTGGACTCCTGCTGTTCAGAAGCTACTGGAAAGTGAAGATATCACTCGAATGGATTGTCCAGCATACTCCCGATTTAAATCCCATTGAACATGTGTGGGATGCTTTAGGGAATCAGACACCCTGCAGCACGATTACATCCTTCGGGAAACATCCAATAACTGAAACAGATGCTGATTGAGGAATGGGCATTCTTACCTCAAGATCTGTTACACAATCTGGTGCTGAGTAAGGAGAGACAGTGCAAAGCAACCATTGTAGTAAGAGGAGGGCATATATAATAACTAACTAAGCAACATCAGCTTGTTGTTCTTCCTCTTGTACAGACAATCGTGTGTAACAATACTATGAGGTCAATAAAGTCTTTTCTTGTTTGATTCCATACTGTATGCATTGGGTATTCATTTTTTCGCACCTATTTTTTCGTCATCATTTAAATACAAGTTGCTGTCTCTCATTTTTGATTTTCTCGTCTCTGAGATAATTTCTCGTGGAGTTATGGCAAAAAGAACACCTGTTGCTTAAGTTTTGCACACCAGTGTACTTTGAAGAGAAGACTTACAAAACAGAGTCTAACCACAATACAAATATTAAGATTGGTATATAAATGCAGAAACATATGAAGACCAGATTTAATTCAAATAAATTTTCAAAATTTATTTGGCTTGTCTAGTTACTTTTTGATTAACAAAGTAAAATGTCATAAAATATAATCCTTATACATAAAGAAATATAGCTAATATTGGAAACAACATCACATCTGCAGTTTACTTAAAATAAGAAATGTAATACAGTATCTGAAGTTTTAAGATATCTCACTCTTTGTTTATACGAATCCTATACTTTTTCAATCTTCATATCAAATTTATATTAAAAAAACAGTTAATAAAAACTTAATTTACTCAATTATCTCTGAAATTCAAGTTGAATTAATGGAGGATTTATTCCTTCTAAAAAAGATTCTGCTTTTCTTTATTAAAAAATTCTAAATTCCTTGCAATTCGTATTGTTTTAAAGAAATCAGAACTGTAGAAAATTAGCAGACCACAAGATTTTACTATATTATTTTTCTACTATATACCTAAAAACTCAGCAGTTCAAAATACATTTTATATAAATATAATAATTTTGCAATGTCAAATATGAGAAAATATAATTATTTTTACTTTAGCTTTAACAATTTTTCCCAGCAACTTTTCATCAGGAGTACTGAGATCATCTTCATCTCCTATTTCAACACCAGCTTCTCGCAAAAGTTCAAGACCTTGTGAATAGTCTAGACGTAAGCTGAAATATTCTTAAAACTTAAAAACACACTAACAGCAATTTAGTAAGCATAAATAAAATTAATAATAATAAGTATTAACTTAAAAACACTTTTAAATAATAGGAATATATAACAAATTCTTCTGCACTTTATGTTGTAAATATTATTTTTTGGGTCAGTAAGAACAATATTTTCAAAATTTGTATTGTTAATTTATTTAGGAAAATGAACATTTTAATAAGTAAAGAAAAAACTAGTAACAAGAAAATTATCCCTCTCACTTTGCTAGGGCTTAGGGACAATCTTAATACAATTCATTTCATATTTTTAATTTATTAATTTATTTTAATTAATATTGATATTTATTACAAAATACATAATTTTATAATTAAAAAAGTACATAATTTTACGATTAATTAGTGGATACATTTTAATTATATGGAAACATGGACACACTACATAAAATTTATGACGATTATTTGCAATCTCTATAGACTTTTTCAGAATTTCTGCATAAAAGTAACTACAAGCTTTACAGGATGTTCCTTCAAGTTGACGAGTACTTGTAAGAACCCAGAATTAGGGAAAAAAGAAAAGAAAGAGGAAAAGTTACTTTTCCTTCCTTGTCATTAAAATAATGAAAAAGAGAAAGGAAAAAAAATGTATAATAGAAGTACAATACTACAGTAAAGATTCTGTAGTATGCATATTAATTATCTAATGCCAAACTCATCAGTAAAGTGTGTGGGTTTTCAAAACTATGTGTTTCTTAAATTTTTCTTCAGAAATTTGCATAATTATCATCATTCTCTTTCATTAACTTTTTAATCATCTATGCATGTGTTATGTAGTAAAAATACCTCTTTCCATACTACATAAATAGAGTTGAAAATTTATAATTGACTTGTTTTGCCTATTTTCCTTTAATTTTGAGGTGCGAATTCTAACAGCTTCACAACAGCTCTTCACTAATTTCAATCAAATGTTATATGCATAAATTATAAGATCACGCTCTGAGAATATCTTAAGTTCAAATGCATTATCCAATAAAGCATGATATATAATATAATACAAAAGCAATAAAAAAATTTTTTAAAAATCATTTGCTAATCTGTCAGAGTGCCTTTCCTCCCTCCCAACAGTCAAAATTTAAATAATAATAATAATAATTAGAATCTTTTTCTGTGGAAGGTGGGGGTATACCATTATACTTACTTTCTCAAAAAGTATTCATATCAGATTTGTATGCAAATACCTGAAAATTAAAACCAGAGTAGAAGTCGGGCAGATTTTGGGGTAAGAGGAGCAGCTAAAAAACAGGTCGACTCTGACTCCAGTTTTTGCTGCACAGTTTGAATTTGAAATGAAATTAAAATGAATTGAAAAAAATTAATTATTTTTTATAGACTATACACATTAATAAATAGTTATTTTCTATTTTTTTTTTGACAAATTAATAAATAAATATAAGGGAGAAGGATGGATGTGATATTTGCCATTAGTGATTAAACTGATTCAGTTAGTTACAAATCTCACTGGTGAATTTAGGTAAGCAGCAAGAACTGCCAAAATTGATGCCATTCTTAGGAAGAAGGCAGGAAAAGGAGCAATTATTGATCAAGCAAGGCGATAAGGAAGTACAAATTTGATGATAAAGAGGGTTTTAGAATTAAGAAATTTTTTAGAAGATGTAGATAATGTTTCACTAATAGAAAGAGTGTGGAATGATTTTGCAGAATTGGAAACTATTTTTTCTACACCGTATATAGCCAAAAAAAGCTTCAATCTGAAGAATTGACAGGAGGGGAGAATGGAAGAATGGGATGTTTGTTTTTTCTGAAATGGAGGGTTTATTGCAGAAGGAATCATTTCTTCAATGAAGAAAATTGAACTAGTTAGAGAATGAGATCTTGCTGGGTTCAATGTATGTACATCCGAAACACCGAATTTTCTTGGATGACAAACAAATTAAAAAGGCACAGAAAGCCATCTATGAACTTTCATTCAGAATGAAATTATTCTTAGAACAATTGGAGAATTTGAATCAGGACAGTCAAACTGCAGACACTGCAACCGAGTCTCTATCATTCTCTTCCAGTGATGAATTAGATTTTGAGAAATATTTTTGGATAATATTGAAAAGGCTAAGGGAAAGCGAAATGAAAATAAAGAACCAAGAGCCTTTAGATATAGAAATGAAAAAATACAAAGAAGATTTCTACACGACCTTTGAAGAAATAAAGAAATATGATTGAGCTTGCAAGACACCTCTTTTAGAACTTATAAAAATCTATTCTGAAAAGTTAAAAGAAGTAGCCCTAACAGTAACAGCTCTTCCTCCTACTCAAGTTAGTGTGGAAAGACTCCTCTCAGCTCTGAAGTTTATCAAATCGGATCTATGGCCCTCCAACAAAGAAGATCCTGCCGAAGCTATACTAATGACAGTTTTCCCATTTCACAATAAATGCTAATTAATATAAATAATTTGCTATGCCATCAATTTTTTTTCTTTTTTTTTTTTTTTTTTTTTTTTTCTTTTTTTCTTTTTTTTTTTTTTTTTTTTCCTGTAAACTATTATTTCTTTTTTTTAAAAAAAAATAAGCTGTAACCCATGTGTATATGTTTACACACACACACATATATATATATGAGGGAGCTGGAGTCTTTAAAATTCAAGGAACCAGAGTCAGTCATTTTCCCTACCGACTCCACAGTCCTGATTAAAACTCACAACTCTTAACAGAAGGCCTTGTGTGCTTTTCTATAACTTATACACAAACTCAAACTATGTTCCTTTCTATAACATAGCCTAGTAATAAACATTTTGTTTGACATATAATATACCAAATTTCTCAAAATGAAAAACTATGGAATGAATGATGCAAGTATTAAAAGATCTATAAAGATCAAAAAGTGTAATAAACAGTTTTAAAACAAAAGTTCTGTAAACTATGGTAAATGCAACCTTGAGACTGGGGCCAACTTATTTCCAAAAGTCAACTGCATTTTGACTGTCATGTCATAAAAATCCTTTTTTTAAATAGTTAAGAATTTGAATTTACTATCCACCAGCCAATTTCTCTGTAGTGTCTTAAGCTCAAAGTCAATAGCAAATGTTATAAAAAATGAAACCTTATTCTTTTCTGATGAAAGTGGAAAACACATGAAATTTGAGTAATGAGAGCAAAAATATTTATTTTTCATTACATGAAATTTGACCCCCCCCCCCAAAAAAAAAATATAACATCGTATAGATGTAATAGTTTTTGATGAAAAAGAATTTAATTGTGTTAGATTGCATGATTTAAAAAAAATTAATATGATTTTTCAAAAGTAAAGCCCTCTCCAAACAACAATATGGTAATGGAGATGTAACGATAGAGGAATCAACTGCAGCCCACAATACTCCCAAAAGTGGTGATAAATGATGTCAACATTGAGATGGAAGAATGCAAGATATGTTGAGATTTGCTGCCTAATGCTTTGTGTTACCCCAACATGGACCAAGATAATGTGATTAATTATGTATCTCGTTTTCAAAAGTATGGTTGAAGTTCAGTCGTGGATTGATGTTATTACAGTTTAAAACTTAACCTGATTTAAAAATTATATGAAAAGTGATATTTTCCATAATTTTTCATATCATGTACTTTTATTATTTTGGTCCAAATCTAGAACTATTTGACTTCTCTATCCTTTCTTATATTATGTAAGTTTTTTAGCTGAATTTATTTCATTGCCTAAAATATTTTTAGAACCTTGTACCATATCACTATAGTCACTAGATACTTATGTCAGTGTCTGTCATTATTCCTCATGGCTAAATTGTTGTTATTATTAAGAAGTTGGATTTCTTTTAATATTTACTCCACTATTATTTGCTGTGATAAACTCTCCACTAAGTTCTAGTAAGTCATAAGAATATTTGCTGTTGTAGTATAAAGAACAGGTAACAAGTGGTAATAGGTACACCTTGTACAACACACAGCTAATGCTCGATTAGTGCATTTTTACAGTGTTTTCCTTACATGAATACATTCAGTTATGCAGAAACCTGACTGATGAACCAAATTTTTTAGCTACAACTATCATGCCTTATTTAAACTTAACACATTATGTTTAGTCCTCATTTCCGTAAAGCCCTTCCACAATGTCATTCCTATTTTTACTTTAATAGCACTGATTATGCACAGTCACATCATATGGACAAACCTGCTAGTAACTGAGTCATGTTCAATGACTTAATCAAAGTTACATCACAACCGTGTGCTTACATATATATAATTAAAAAAAGAATGGGAAATAATGTATTATTAAATTTCTTAAATCTCACACACACAAAGAAACATTAACATTACTAAATGCCATCAAAACAAGTTCTCCTTAGCCTTATTGTTTCTTGTTACTAACTTCTCTACATGTAAAGAATGCATTGTTTTCATAGATTTAAACGACAGACAATTATTCATCTTTATATTTTAAAATAATGAAATAATTGCTAAATTCCATCAAAAATATGCTTTCTTTGGCCTTAAAGCCTCATTAGCATTAAGACACGATTTCCAAAACTTCAGAATATTTATTACTAACTTTATTTAATATCCAACAGACCACACATAAGACAAGATAAGAAATCCATGTGTGCAGTCCCCCACAAGTTGCAGTCTTTAAGCTGTTACAAGGTATGAGATGACATGCTTTGACATTGCAGAACTGATAAGTCATTCAGTAATGTCTCCACTTGATATTATATGAGTTATAACCCCAGTATCAAGAGATTTTTAGTGATCTGCACTGTGTCTGTCATCAAAGCCTCTTGATTTCAGGGAGGCTGAGAGACCAATGATCCTGTAGTTCCTCTAATATTGTTTCAAATAGAGCAAAATAACAGAACATAAAATACAACTGAAAGATTAAGTGGGCATGACCTATTCAATCTGAAAATTATTTCAGACAAAGCAACAGGTCAGAATCTTAAAACTCTTGCCACTGGCAAGATCCTCACATAATGAGGACAATAACTTTACTTATAACAATTGTTTCTTTGCCTTCAGTGTATTGTTAACAGAGCTTATCATAGATTTATAATAAATGTAGTTTAGTTTTATATGCAGTAAGTATTATGCAACCTACACAAATTGCCATCACCAACCAGTTAGTTAGCAATGCTTACATGCAGTCACCTCATAAGCGAAACATACTGTCACAACCACAAATATATAAATGATAAAAAATACAAACCTTGGTTGTAAAAATTTAAAGGGTTCTGCTGGAAACTGCTTGTGAATGGTTTTTATTTCTTCAGAATACCTACAAAATTACAGAGACAATAAAATTAGCAAGATTAAAGCATGAAGAAAGGAATTACCAAATAAAAATCTTAAAACAGGTAAAAAGGACAATCCAGATTACATAATATCACTATATGAATCTCTAAATTTATTACATTCTAAATTACTGCAGTAAAAGTAGTACCTCATAATATTATTTTTATCATAATTACACTTACATTCAATAAACATATTTATTAGCCTGTATCATGTAAAGATTCCTCTTGTTTCCATTATTTCTTATTTTTAACATTGTATAAATTATTTAAGAGTTAAAAAATGTGTGTCTATTTTACTGACAAAAAAATTCAAATTTTGTTTGCTATTAACTTCAAATTAAAAGCTTTCCAGAATTTTGGAAGGGAAAAAAAATCGCTCGTTTCCATCTTTCAGAATAAATTAAATCTGCTAATTCTATAAAAGAGCTATGCCAAAAAATTATGATTTTGACAGGATGCTACATATCTTGGCAATACATAACATGTTCCTGGACAAACATAAAATTTACATTTGAAACTAATACCATGGAAATTTTGAATTTTATTAGGGCTGCCGCTCAAACAGGAGAATGAAATTCTCTAACTTTTCAAGGCGTGTTTCAAGAAAATTTCAGGCTATTCTGTGTAGTGCACGTTGGCTGTGCTGAGGGTAAATTAATTATGGTATCACTTAAAAACACAAAAATTTACCTATTATACATGACTCATACAACTCATAATTTAATGCATAGAAGAAAACACTGGAACTTTTAACAGCTTTCGATATCAGTCACGGCTGAGGGTTGAATGCATACTGGTGAAGATAACAAAACTAGATTTCTACAAATCACCAATCTTTATTTTCACACATATCAAAAATCAACCTTTTGCAAACAAGATATTTTCAATCATAGTGAGAACACAATAATCTCCATGTGCATGGGTTTTAAAGTATGACGTCATCTTAGGCAAGCAAGCAGCAGCGTGGCTGAGAAGTGTCTTGTGAGGAGGGAAGCGTAAGCGAAAAGGATCGCAGCAATTCAAGGAAGAAGGGAAGGAGTTAGTAGTTTCAGTTTGAATTAGAAAAGTTTTGGTTTGCATTTATTTTGATTGGACATGAGGTATCTGCATTAAGCGCTATGTAACATGGAAAGATCTTGAATTTGGGAGAACAAATTAATTTAGGCGGAGAACACCAAATCTAGAATAGTTAATTTTGACATTGCCAATTATTCTTAAAGCAGCCATCATATTTTATTATATCTTTCATATCCCCTCTTCATAAGAAAGGTTGGGAGAGCAGAACGGCAGGAAAAGCATTAGCAAAGCAACAGGAAGTTTATCATATGAGGAAAGACATGAGGAAGCATCAAGGACATAGCCTGCAGGTTTTCCTATGCTCTGTCATTATTCATGACCTTTCTCATATACAGATGATGAATTATGTAACCATATAATTTACAATTATTACAACAACAATAAAAAAAATCTGAAATGTTTCAGATTTTAAATTACGTCCAAAGGGGCATTTTTTAAAAACATTTTGTGTGTTATATTTATTTACTAAATATTCGTTCTTTGCACTCAAACCATAAAATTCAGTTCAACAACAATATCGCAAAACAGTTTTAAAATGAGCATACCTTTAGAATTTCCGATACATAGACTCGTGCGCTGGAGATAAAAATGTTTTTTCTGTACAACATTGCCATTGCTCGCTTTGAAATCCTCGAGTTTGTTAATAAAAAAATTCATTAAAGTTTTACAAAATATGAAATCGATAAAAAAATTCCAAATTTGGTCCTCCACATGACCATATTCATAGGAGAATTACGTCATTCAAAATTCGATGGCTCATGTACCGTTGTTTCATCACAAAGCGAGAAACATACATACATTTATGAAGATTTTTCATTATTTAATTTCTTCAAATATAAGAACTCTAACATTTGGTGAGTCCAGTTTGAAAAGTGATTCGCCGTTTATAGTGATTCAATGCAAAATCGCATAACAAAAACATACTCCTTCAGAGACAAAGCCCCTTTGGGCTAATAATTTCTAAATAAAACTAAATAATAAATTAAATATAATTTTTTATAAAGTCCTTAAGTTCTTTTGAATGTCCTGTGTAAAATTTTTGTACTCTTTTTGTGTTTTTGTAAGTTCTTGACAAAAATAGTTCCTTAAAATAAATCTTCAAATGTCTTCACAAAGTAAATGTTCAATAACAGTCTTTCAAAATTTTGTCGATGAAAGTATTTCCATCATAATGCAAACTGAGCTGCCAACTTTCATGTAGAAATAAATACAATACTCAATTTATGATTAATTGAATAAATTCTTCTTATTGTGGATACACTAAATAAGACAATAATACTTTGACAATTACAGTCAAGAGTCTTCAATCCGGACTCGTCGGGACTTCGGCGATTCTGGATTATTATAGATCATCAGTTTAAATCTGGTAAGATGGCATGCAGAAATTATAAAAATAAAAATATGAAATAAAGAGCAATAATGATCTAAAGGCTTAATATTTATTTGTTTACTTTATTAAACATTTCTTTCAATGCGCGCATGCGTAAAGTATACAATACGCATAGTCAAAATTAGAAAATTGCAACCAGAAAACTATTTGATGTTTATTCGTGATATTTATGACGAATGACGAGGAAATTGATTTAAATTATATCGAAGTACATAAAGATGAAATACTACATTTAGTAAGGAATTATAAGCCAAATAAAATAAAAACATCTGCCCTGAAGATGAGGATAGTGCTGACAGATCAACTTCCAGTTCATTGCATGCCGCAACATACAAAACCTAAAGCTCCCACAACATTTCTTCAAAATACAGTCAGTAAATTTACTACATTTTGAAGAATCAATAGCCTTAAATGGTAACTTTATCATTCCTTATATTTTAGTTATTTTAAAGTGAAATGGCTTGAAAACTATGTGAAATTTAATTGTGTTTCATATAAATAATTTACACTTTATTTTAAGCAAAAATAACATCCTTCTCATTCAAAAATATATTGCATAAATAAAATATTGTTTTAAGAAATTACACATTATAAAAACAACACTAGATGAAATTATTATCCCATATTCTTCTTATTAAATTAAAAAGATATCTCAGGAAAAGTACAAAAATATTTAACAACATCACATACCTATCTCTTAATCCTTTGAATATTTCAACAAACATGTCTCCAATTAGATCAAGTACTTCATGATAATGATAATCAAAGGCCATTTCGAGATCCAAACCAATAAATTCGCACAAATGCCTGTGTGTATTCGAATTTTCAGCTCGAAACACTGAAATTAAATACAAAAAATATATTAGGGAAAAAAAATAAATCACAAGAGCTTGTGTTAAAAAAAAAAAAAAAAAAGTCACATTTCAACTATTTTGCATTTTTATGTTTTTCTATCCACCATTTTCAATAGAGAAATGCTGTCATCAAACACTGCAATTAATATCAAATAATGGATCAGTGTGACATCACGACACACTCATAAGGTTGCTTTATTAGTTTTACATAATCTGATCCTCAGTAAACCACATGGTTTCTATAAAGGATGCAAGTGCTATTCATCTGTTTTTCTCTTGCATTTTGGGGGGTAGTAAAATTTGGGATCTGCTTCCCACAGAATAGCAAGTAATAAAGTGTTTTCAGAATTACCACCACTCTCAAAGTCTATCATAATGTTCATTTACACAGCCAAGGAGGACTATCCTCTTCAGCAACGATTCTTGCTTCTGTCACGGAAACACTGATGCTTGGAGATTAGTATGAAAATCATGTGGCCAATGCAACAAATAAGCTTTCATCTGGAGATCACATTGCCAATGCAATCAACAAGTCTTCACAAGAGAAGAATATATTAGGACTTTTCGTGAAGTAATGGTGTAAAGCAGCATAATAGATGGTAGATAGATCTCTCTAGTCTTCCATACTAGTGTACTGACAGTTCTACATTATACTGACTTGTTCATGTAGCCATTGGTATATAATTGTGAATAACCTGCATGGACTTAATACTCTACCACAGTAAGACACATTTTCAGACTTTTGACATCATTAGTTGACTACTACAAAAAGAAAATCCAGAAGCCACTATTAATGCTTTACATGCCAAAGTGCTTGCAATGTAACAAAACAATTTCTTAGACTATGATTAATATCCTCACTGATAACACATAAGTGCATGTGGAATATGATTGTCATGTCTGGAAAATACACAGCAATCATATTCACATTGAATAAATTAAGATCATTTGCACATATTATTTCTACGAAACATGTCTATGAATATTGTGAATATCAAATTACTACGTCTTTTCCTTTTTGATATTATCGTTTTAGTGCATTTGTATGAAGAATTTATCAGACATAATACTCACCTGATCCTATAGTAAAAACTCTGTCAAAGTCAGCTGTAATAGCCATTTGTTTATACAACTGAGGAGACTGGGCAAGATAAGCACTACCCTCAATATATGTAACTTCAAAAACATTTGCTCCTCCTTCACTAGCAGCTGCAAAAGAAAAGAATACACATATAAAGAAAATACTTTGATTCAATACTTTTTATATGCACATAAAATTTACTAAACATGTATAAATTTCCTAAGAACCAACGTAAATACACTGCTCGACACTGAAAATGCAACACCAAGAAGGAGTGGTCAGAAAGTGATGAAATTTGGAAAAAAGATGGAGATAGCAAGCAGCAATAAGTGATCTTTATTTCAAAATGATAGTCAGAATACAGAGCGAGAACAGCGTCGGTTCAGTAGGATGTAGGACCACCGCAGACAGCGATGCACGAAGAACCACGTCTAGGCATAGAGTCAATAAGATTGCAGATGGTGTCCTGAGGGATGGCTCTCCATTCTTTTTCAACCATTTGCCACAGTTAGTCTTCTGAACGAGGCAGGGGCAGAGTCTGCAAACAGTGTCTAATCACATTCCACACATGTTCGATTGGTGACAGATCAGGAGAGTACAGTGGCCAGGGAAGCAACTGTATACCTTGCAGAGCATGTTGGCAGATGCGAGAACTGTGTGTTCAAGCATTATCCTGCTGAAAAATTGCATTAGGCAGCCCCTGAAGGTAGGGGGATTGCCACCGGCCGCAGTACATTATCCAAGTATCCTTTGGCAATCATAGTGCCCTGAATACGAACTAAAGGTGACCTAGATTTGTAAGCAATAGCATCCCAAACCATTATGCCACGTTGTCGAGCGGTGCGGGCGTTCCACACTTACTGCCGGATTAGACCTGTCTCCACGTCGACGCCACATATGTATGCGGTGACTGTCACTAGATAAACAGAAGCGTGACCCATTTGAGAACACGACATTTCGCCATTCTGTCATCCACATCGCTCCAGTCCGGTACCATTCTAAACGTCGGCGACTATGCTGTGGGATCAATGGCAGTCTTCTTAACGGACGCCGTGAGTGCAGGCCACACTCAACCAATCCACGGGAAATGGTTCTGATCGACACGAGAAGATCCAGGGTATCTTGCACATGCTGCAGAATCGCAGTACAAGTGACTTGCGGGACAGCCACAGCTTGTCGGCGGATGCGTCAATCCATGCGTGCTGACGTCACTCTGGCTGCACCCGCACCCCTCCTTCTTCCCCCATTTTTTTGTTCCAACCATGTTCGCCATAGCCAATGCACTGTGCTCGCACCCATGTGGGCAGCTGCGTTTTGACGTAAGGACCAACCCGCCCTTCTCAGTCTGATCCCCATCTCTCGTAAAATCGTCTATCTGCTGGAAGTGCCTTTGTTGATGGTGGCCTGGCATTCTCTCCTATTACACGTATCCTCCGGGACAAAAACCAACTTTCTTTGATAATTTCGTCTGGCAGAAATAATGACACGAATATTTCCCATTCTGCATGTTCCTTCCCTTATATCTTACTTCACGTGCGTTGGAGAGCTGTGCATTTCACATTATTCACATAACTCAGTGACGTGCGGCTACTCTAAAATTTGCATAAATTTCCGACCACTCCTTCTCGGTGTTGCATTTTCAATGTCAAGCAGTGTATGTATTCTAGCATCTCCTAAATCTATAATTACTTTTTTTCCTAAACATCTGAATATATTAGTAATTCAGATAAGCATAATAAAAGTTGGCTTATTCAAAGCACCTAATATCTGCCAGTAAATGGACTGATAGCAGAATTTATACAAACAATAAGCAAAGGACGAAAAGAAAAATTCTATACAGGAGGAAAATGTATTTAAAAAAATATCTGTTACAAGATATTTTACAATAAAATAAAGCAAACTTATTAAATAAATGAAACAAAGAAATAAGAAACATTAAGCATTTATAACACAATCTTCTTAATCTATTTTGCAACTGTAAATGCATTCTACACAAAACACAATTTTTTTCCCTTCCTTTTGCAGAAAATTTTCAGTATTCAACTGAGAAAAATAAAAGAAATTAAATTCATATTTTCATTCTCACTTTATCATACGAAATGTCTGGAGAACATGAAACACATCGCCAATACTACAATAAAAATTATCTACGACACATCTTCTATAATACATACATATTGAACATCCACAACGGGAATAAACTAAAAACATGGAAAACTGCCAAAGCTGTCAGAGCTAAGTTACCAATTTAGGAATTACATGTATTCTTCATTGGATATAACATCTACCCCCAAAATTTAACATACCTTGAAAATTAAAACAATAGTCAAAATATGAATTTCATTACCTGAAATAATTTTTGGGGTGTGTATTTCTTTAAAACCTTTTCCAATTAAAAACTCTCTAAACAAAGAACACACACCACCTTGTACAGCATAAATAGCATGATTGGCAGCTGTTCTTAAGTCTAGCACTCTGTTGTCAAGGCGAGTATCTTGATTGACGTGGATGTTCAAACCTTCTGGATCCTAGAAAAATAAAAATTTTACGGAATAGAAATATTAAGAAAATTATCAAAGGAGAGAGAAAGAGAATGAGAAAAACAAACTTCTGAACTTTAATGATACGGAAGCCATTACCTAGGTAAAATGCAGAAAACTCTTGATTCAGCACTTTAACGGTACAAATCAGCTAATCTGCAGATTAGCACATTGACTTTTGCACTTTAGCAGTAACATATACAAATATATATAATATATACATATACAGTCAAAAGACGTTAATCCGGACTCGTTGGGCGATTCCAGATTATAGATCATCAGTTTAAATCTGGTAAGATGGCATGCAGAAATTATAAAATTAAAAATATGAAACCGTAATTTATGAAATAAGGAACAATTATGATCTAAAGGGTATCAAAATTTACAAAAAAAAAAAAGCTTAATATTTATTTGTTTACTTTACTTTCTTCGCTATCGGAAGCGAATTATAATGACAATGAATTTGATTTAAATCATATCAAAGACGGAGTACATCGAGATGAAATACTACATTTAGTAAGGAATTATAAGCCAAATAAAATAAAAACATCTGCCCTGAAGATAAGGATAGTGCTGACAGATCAACTTCCAATTCATTGCGCGCCGCGGCGTCCCCCCGCCGCAGAGCAGCGTGAAATTGATTGCTAAACAGATTTCGGAATAGTTAGATAAACAAAGGATATGCCTTTATCCATTTTTTGCAGCAATTCCACTTTTTGTTTAATGGACTTCGAAACATACTTTTTCTTTGTAGATCCTTTACATAATAGTAAATATATATCAGAAATTCTATTTGACATAATCAAAAGTTCAAGCTTACTTTTATAAAATTGCTCTAACAGCCTGCAAAAAATAATAAGCCGGATCCAATTCGAAGATTAACGAACAACGCAATCTGCAACATTAACTGAATTAGATAATTTTAGCTTAGCTTATACCGTCCGTTATACATTAAACGCGCATACGTAAACGTATTTTTGGCCATGCTCACATGCATATTCGCAGCCGTAAAGGTCTTATGCGCATGTGCAGAAAGTTTGTAGCTTTGAGGTCGAGATTATAGATGATTCTGGATTATGGGTGTCCGAATTAATGACTTTTGACTGTATTTTAAATATGAGAAAACTTACATTTTCATTTTCTGGCCTTGAAGCATCTTCAATTTGCAAAGGAAGTCTTGCTTCTGCTGCACTCACAACAAATACCTACATATTAAAAATCAAACTTGTTAATATATGCATTATGTTTAATGAAAAATATTAATATTTAAAATCGATAAAATATCTGTTTCAGATCTTACATTTAATGACAAAGTGAAATTATTTTCTCAAAAAATATATGCAAGGGTTAAAAAAAAACTCACACATATGTGTTCAAAATATTTTTCAGATCAATACAAAAATGAGCTTGAGAAAATTGTAAAACAGCATATCCTGTAATTATTTCCACAGTAATACCAGTAAACAGTTTGGTAAAACATATGGAAATAGAATGGATGGCACAAAATATCAATCACTTCACTAGGTACATTCCAATTCTCACATTAACAGATCGAGTTTTGAGAAATGTAAGTGCCTTTAGCAGCACTGTTTGCAACAGAATTTCAGAATTTTTTCAATGTTATCAGAAGCATGTGGAAATTCATGGTGGTTAATAGCTTAATTGAACCCATTTCTTACAAACATGAGAAATTTTAAATTGGTCATCAATGTTTACACGATTTTTAAGGTATTCTGCATTATTAACCAGCTTTTATATAACCATAACCTCCTTTCATTTCTGTAATTATACAGATTAACAAATATACATCTATAGAACAATGAGAAGTTAGCTGCTGCCATGAATGATAATCGGCAGACTACCCACAGATCTCTATTAGCTAAACCAATAAAAGGCAGGAGATTTTTCTAATGAGGGAAAGGAAAATGTTAGTAACAGTTGTACCACAGCGAGCTTTACAGGAAACAATTTTTCCAGTACAACATTTGTACCGTTAATGTTAAAGCAGTCATTAGTTCTCAAGCTTCACCCCTTTCACTATTGCTAGATGATCATTACCTTCCATAATTCCAAAACTTGAAAAATACACTACTGACCATTAAAACTGCAACACCATGAAGAAAAAGCAAATACAAAAAAGATATTTATTGTACTTTAAGTGTATGACATGAAGACAAAATGATTAAATTTGTACGCAGTTTGGGGGTTTACAGGGGTGCAAAATTAGTAGCAACAGCTGCCACTCATAGCAACTAAAACGGCCCTTACCCAGTTAAACGGCCCTTACCCAGTTAGGCATGGAGTCAAACTGGGGTTCAATGACACAAACAGGCAACTTATTCCATGCTGCTTCAAGTCTATGCACCACTTCATAAACAGTATTAGTTGGAGAGGGGTGGCAGGCCAGTCTCTCAGCAACCCATGACTGGCTGTTTTCAATGGGTGACAGATCTGGAGACTATGCAGGCCAGGGTAGCAATTGAATACCCTTTATTTTTTGCCATGAATTTTTAAAAAGCTGTTATCTTTTACCCCGTATATTGAGGAAGATCGGAACACAATGTACACATAGTCTGGCATTATCTGGTTGGAAGATGGCATTTGGCAGGCATCAAAGATAGGCCCAACCACTGGACATAAGATTCAGAAATGTAACTAATCTGTATTTAAATTACAATTGATTGATGTGTGTGTCAGGCACCCAATGGCTGCCCAAACCATTACGCCAGGTGCAGGGCCCTTATGCTGATATTGAACGCAAGCACGAGACGTACGGTCTCCTCGGAGCCTCCTGATATGGCCATCAGAATACTACACGCAGAACCAGGACTCATCTGAAAAGACAACATTTTGCCATTCCTGTATCCAACTTTGTCGTTCGGTCACCATCTCTCTCTATGCTGCATTGTCAAATGAAGCCAAAGTAATGGTCACCGTGCTGATAGCCCACGCTGCAGCAAATGTTGACGCACCTTACAAGCAGACTTTGGGCATGTTGCAAACATGTCCATTTCTTGACTAATCCTTGATGTGGCTGTACAGTTTTGCAGGGCTGACTTCATAAAATGTCTGTCATCTCGGGCATTTGTCATGGGAGGGCATTGAGTTCCTGCATGCCGTTCAGTACGACCTCCAGCAACCTATTGTTTCCATATTCGCATGACAGTGTTTGAATGTCAATCAGTATGGCGGGTGATATCATGGAACAATAATAAGCTCTTGACAGGCAACAATCCTGCCTCTATTGAATTCCAACACTTGCAGGTAAGCATTTATTATTAATATTATTTGAGGCATAACACGATTTTCGAGCAAACTCGGCTTTTACAAAGCGCTTTCGGAATGAGAAATCCACTACAGTCAAAAGTCGTTAATCCGGACACGTCGGGACTTTAGCGATTCCGGATTATCGATTTTTCCGGATTATAGATCATCAGTTTAAATCTCGTAAGATGGCATGCAGAAATTCTAAAATTAAAAATATGAAACCTTAATTTATGAAATAAAGAACAATTATGATCTAAAGGGTATCAAAATTTACAAAAAAAGAAGCTCAATATTAATTTGTTTACTTTATTAAACATTTCTTTCAATGTAAGTTGTTTAAAGTTGCTTCGTTTTATGTGATAATACTTTCTCTTTAATTCTATAAACAGACACGATTTCTTGTTCAGTTACAAAGTTCCGCTGTTCAAGTCCCGTTAATTGCTGTGCCGAGAATACCTACTAACTTGTCAATCAAATTTTTTTTGTTTTCACTAACCTCTCTGTCACATTCTTCATGTCTTTATCCATTTTTTGCAGCAGCAATTCCACTTTTTTGTGTGATGGACATTGAAACAGACTTTCGTTTTGTACGATCCTTTGGGAGCTCCAGAAACGGAAATTCTATTTGACATAATCGAAAGTTCAAGTTTACTTTTATAAAATTGCTCTTACAGTCTGCAAAAAATAATAAACCGGATCCAATTCGAAGATTAAGTAACAATGCAATCATCAACATTAACTGAAATAGATAATTAGATAATTTTAGATTATACCGTCCGTTATACATAAAACGCGCACGCGAAAACGTATTCTGCGCTTGCGCAAACGCATAAGCACAGTGGTAAAAAGTCTTACGTGCACACGTAAACGCCTATGCGCATGTGTCAACGCGGCGCATGCGCAGAAAGTTTTTAGCTTTGAGGTCCGGATTATAGATCATTCCGGATTATGGGTGTCCGAATTAACGACTTTTGACTGTATATACCTTTTTTTTTTATGCAGTGCTTCAGATGTCATTTCTCCCTCCGGTGTTATCTAAATCTGCTGAAATGCTAATCATTTGCATATCCCAACCTCTTCTTCCTTTCATGTGATTTTGATGTTCTTTAAGTCATTCCTTCCTGGTGTTGCAGTTTTAATGGCCGGTAGTGTACATATACAGTCATTTAAAGAGTATTTCATTAGATTATTTTTAATGCATTTAATAAATTAAACAAGAAAATGTATAGAAAATACTGATAAATATCAAAACTTGAAGAATTAAATTAGCTTTTTATATTCATTAACTAAGTTATTAATACTTAAATAATCTGATTGCATTCCCCTTGAAACTATGAAATTTTAGCCTGGTTGAGAACACCTAATTTAAGGGTTTCTGGGTGTTTTAAGAAATATTTTGTCATTGACATTTGCAGCTTTATTTTATACCGACCAGCTCTTCCTGCTCATATTCTGGCATTATGCATTTTGCTAGCTGACACTTAAATATGCCATTAAAATTTTGAGTCAGCTCAGTTAAGTCAAATCTGTGTAGTCTCCAGCTACGATATTTTTAAATTGTAAAATTAACGTTATTTTACTACCCATAAGTATTAGAGTTTTGAGTATTATCTCAAGTTTTGCTTTCTGTTCAATTTAAGCTTAAATAAAAATATTACTTAAACTTTCAAAAGACCTGCTGACTTCATATGAAGCAATAATTTGCTTGTCAGTCTAATAGGGTCTGAAGGACTTCAAGTTAATACTACATGAATAAAACCTTATAGATTGAGTAATAGCATTGGCATTCAGACAACATTTCTTTTTTCTATCACGAACAGTCACAGTGAAAATGCATTAAATTATAGTTAACAATAAATTAAAGCACATTGTTTTGATCAATAAATAATTTTCCAGTTCAGCATTATTGCAAAATACCCTCATCATCTAATTACTAAAATGTTCTGGCTTAAAATATATTTTATTATTATTATTTCTTCTACTACTATGTTATGTTTATTATATTTAACTGTTATAAAGTTTACTTTTTAAATTCCTTAAATGAAAATTAAAACTGTTTTCATTTACTATCTCAAAACTAACTGACAAAGCATGCAAATAAAATGAACTACCTTTTATGGGTCCTGCATTTCAGTTAAATGAAGATGGCCACTGATATCGATATGGCAACAATTTCTGTAACAGCATCAAAAGTGAAAGCAAGCTATCAGAAGATTTTTCCCTCCTCCAAAATTAGGAATTATATTTTTGTAAGCATTATGTGACCTTTCCCAATCCTCTAAACATCTATAAATGATAATCAAATCTGGATAATTTAAACTGATTTAAAAACAAACTGAGCATAATAATTTAAAGAATATTAACCTATATAAGAAATATAATCTCTTAATTTACTTGAGATTTCAGAAACATGGTAAAATCCTTTATTATAAAATACAACTATCAAGAGATGCAATAATTTCCTTAAAATGTGATTATAAAATGTATGATTGTTTGTCTAAAAACATGCAAGTTCTTGTCTAATAACACATAAAACATAAAATATTTTGCTTAAATTTGACTTAATTTTAGGCATCCATTAACAACTAGGAAATTAAATAATAGATGTCTCTCTCAGGGGATTAGGCATACATCAAATTGTTTCTCAATTTAGCATTGTAATTTTTATTTGCATATTTTAATATTTTAATTATGTTTCTTTCACAATGCTCATGATGCTAAAATGAATTCGACGATATAAAATATTACTGACACAATCTAATTTGATCCAATTGCTTACTGATCAACTTACATTTAGAATCTTACTGTTTTCTAGAGGAACCATTCAGTTGGGGGGAGGGGAATTATGACAGGAAAAAGTCTGTACAGTTTTTTTGACATGTTCCAAATCAAAATCATACTCAGTATACCCACAGGTACACTCCCACTCATGAGACCATCTACACTATCTATCAATTATAATTCAACCAAAATGCCATTAAGTAATCAAGTATTACCCTGAATTTTTATGCATTTTTTATTTCTGTAATTTTCCTCTTATAAAATTTAAATGAATCCAAAAGTGTCCCAAAATACATATTTAAAATAAATAATATCTTTTTTTTTAAGATTATATATAAATACTGTAAAAAGTAATACCATTTAAGTAGTAATATATATATGGTATTGTACAAAATATGAAAAATAAATAATTTAAATAACAATATTACAAATGTTTCTATTAAGGATCATTGGTAAGTAAATACTTACTTAATGGAAAATGAGTTTGATTACACCAATCAATAACTTACTTTGTACTTACTTCACTCCTTAGTGTTTGCAATAATATCTATTATATTCATGATGAAAATTTTAATAAATAAAATCTCAAAAAGGAGCATATAATGCTTATTACAGAAATAGTAAAGCAGTGAAATATTAAAGTAAAATAAAAATTTTGCTGTTTGTATTAAATTAGTGAATATATGAAAATATTAACATATTGAAAAGACTGTAAAATAAAGTATGCCAAACTGCATATTTAAATTCATCTATTTCCTTTCATGGAACTGTTTTTATATCTGAAATATGCATATAATTATTGTTATAAATTCCTAAAATAAGCCAGCACTGATAAAATAATGCATTCTCCCATCTGTCATTATACAATCAAAATTAAATTATCTACCATTTTTTACTATTAGTTTTAACTAAGTTATCTACCATTTCTTAACTATTAGTTTTCATTATTTATCAGCTTTTGTGGCAGTCTGATGGGCAGAATGAATCCACCAAAGAACAAACAGGAAAAGTAATAAGAAAAATAATAATAAATGAATAAATCATAACTTAATGTAAGTTACAGTGTACAAAGTGATTATTCAACACTGTATTTAGAATATAAAACTAAAATACTGTTTTAGAGATGTCAATATTGTATTTTAAAATAAAATCTACATAAAAATAGTTCTTCTATTAAACATCACCATGCAAGTTAACCCCTTAACTGCGGCGGAACATGTACAAGATTCATTTCCCAGCGTCTCATTTTTTCACACAGGCGCGCATAGTTATGCGATGTATTAGGGTATAAGTGCAGGTTTTACTTTCTAAAAACCGTTTACTTTGACAAAATAAAGAATAAAAGAAAAAAAATGAATGTGCAAAATTTAATGCTTTGAGTAATAAAAAGATGCAAGTAAAATAAAAATGATGTTTTATAATAAAAAAGATGGAAATGGAGTTTCGATCAATCTATTTTTAGACCAGTAAAGTGTAATATCAGATTTCAGCGTTATACTCTGTGAAATCAGTATGCCTACAAAAACATATTTCTTCTCAACTGGTTGAATGCCACGATTTTGTTCTTGATTTTTCATTTGTGAGGTGGTGGTTCATATACTTGTCTACAAAACGGTTAGTTTCAGTAACGAGCAGTTCATCAAAAAATAATTCAAGAAAGATAAATGGGTTTGAAACATCCGTTATATCTTTCTTTATTCCTGGAACCTACTACAAAAAGTAATCAAAAACGAGTACACAGAATAAAAAAAATACGTTTTACTCAAACGACACCAGCCGATACCTCGTAGTCATTACTTTACACAGCTTTTAGACACATCCCTTCCTCCAATTTCTCCCCACACTGAAATAGTATCCTCCTTTGTATACTTTGTCAAAGTCATTGTGGTGTTGCATTCCAAAGCTTTGCAAATAATTTTAAGGGTAGCAGCGCAAAGCAAATGATAGTATTTTGGAAGGGCATATATATACGCCTGTGGCAGTTAACGCATAGGCTGAGCAAGGCATATATATACGCCATCGGCAGTTAAGGGGTTAAGTTATTATAGAACAAAATGTTCTTTATGAATAATTTTCTTATTTATTCATATTAAAATTAATCAATTTTAATTACTAAATAATAATTAAAATTAGTTTTCCTTAATTTTAATTATTATTTAATTTGTAAAATGTCATGTACCAAGACTAAAACTTACAAAACTTAACCTTTTAACTGTCATGCCCGAGATGCACTGGTGTTCGAAAAAGTCACGCCCGAGGATTACTCGGGGTAATTCTTTTTTTTTGAGTGCATCGTATTGTTATACCCGAATATATATCGGGAGACGTTTATTTCGGCTTCATCTCTTTGTCAAACCCGACTGTATCTCGGGAAAAGTTAATGTGCGCTCAATTCAATAGATGACAGCATCTTTACTGAAGATTTCAAAGGTTAGAGGTTATAAGTTCTTTGGTTCAAAGTGCACGGGATCTTTTTGTTGTAAAATAGCATCCAGTTCTTTGAAACGTTATATAGATGATTTAGATTCTTCAACCAAAGATGAAGGATATGTGTTTGACGAGCAGTATTCATGATACTTCCATGGTCAGCCTCAAAAATAAAAAAATGAAGATATACTCAAACCGAAGATTGTTTCTGACTACAGTCTAACTATGGGTGGTGTAGATCGCTGTGAGCAGGAAATATCCTTTCATCCAACAATCCGAAAACGTCAGAAAATATATTATAAAAAGATATTTTTACATTTACTAGACAAGGTACTGGAAACTCATATTTGCTCTATAAAAATGTAGTTGGGAAACGTATTACATTTTTAGAATTTCGAATCCCAGTTGTAGAAGAGCTTTTACATAAATATGATGATGCAGCTTCTGGGCAAAAGAATGTTGGCAGACCACGTACAATAGATAACCCTGCCCGTCTTACTGAACGACATTTTATTTCCCATATTCCTCCTTCTCCTGTGAAACGTGAGCCTACAAGACAGTGCAAAGTGTGTTGTTTGAAAAAGGATAAAACTGGGAAAAGATAAGGAAGGAAACACGAATCTGGTGTAGTGATTGTGGAGTTGTTTGCGCTTGGAAAAGTGTTTCCAGTTGTACCACACAGACTGAATTACTGAACTACTATAGATACTCAATTTATTTATTTATTTTTTTTCATTTATTTATTTTCAGAAAATAATTAATTTTTTTTCATTTTTAGAAAATAATGCTCCACCAGAAGCAAACTTTAAAACTGCCATGTTGAGTGGCAGCCGCCTCATGCAAATATGCAGTGGCTACAAAACTTTAAAAATTTTACCCATGTACTTCAAAATATCAATTTTTAATTACTTAAATATATTTTATTTTATACTAAACATTTGATTTTTCCAATTAAAAAAATTTGACAATTTGTGTACCCAAATCATCAAAATAAGTTGACAGTTAAAGGGTTAAACAAAAAATCCTCTCCATACATAGTAATACGAAACACAATTGCATTATAATATAAACAGTTTTTAATTCTAATATGACTTTTATCCCTATTATTCAATAAAAATATATTTTTTTGTTTTTTTTGTTTTTTTTTGTAAACTGACCACTTTAGGGGTAGCGGAGATAGAGTAGAAGTTTCTATTATTCATCTATGCTTGATGGTCCTTGAAATTTTAATTATACATGCATAATTTTATTTGTTCCTGCATTATATTCAATTACAAATGCTTATCACATGTTCCAATAAAAACAGATTAAGTTGTGATAAAATGTTACAAATCATAAAATTGAAATACAGTTTAATTTATATGAAAGTTAGATTAACGTTTCTCACCTGCGTAACATGGAGTTCAACATTTTTCTGTGAACAACTCTCAATTTTCTGAGGAGAAGCTTTTATGAAACCTTCTACATCAATTATTGATTCTTTAGTTATACTACAACATAAAAAAAAAATTAATTACCAAGTAAAAACACAAGTTAGAAAGTTGTTAACAATATGGTACTCTTCATATTGATAAAAATTAAAAGAAAAATATTACTCATTAATTAAATATACATATATATATGTAAAAAAAAAAAAAAAAGATGACTTTGCTCTAAGCAAACAGGCAACCTCTAATTAACTTTCCACAGTTTCAGGATCTCACCCCTAGACCAGTACTTTCGAGAACATTCTGGCATGCTATGTGATCGTTACAATAAATGCAGAGTTCGCGCCATTTTTCGTCAGATTGCTTTTCTCCTCCTGCCGCTCTTCCCGTCTTTCTTTGTTTGAATAGTATGATGCAGTAAATTTAAAGTTAATCCTACTTAGTCTAATTTATTATATGTAATCTAGGACAATCTACAAGAATAATTATTTGTCATTTAAATTGAATAAAGATGTGGAATCAAAACAGCTAACTTCTTCTGTGTAAACAGCTAACTTCTTCTGTGTCATCGTTTCATGTCAAGCTTCATTCATGTGCCTGACTTCCAAAATATCAGAGATTAATTACAAAATTCCCACCATCATACTTAATGTATAGAAAATTACTTATGATTCCTTACTTCAAAATCAAGAACAGTATCCACCAGTAGAAGAAGCTAGAAAAATTGTTAAAAAAGATCCGATGATTATCCTAATTAAATAAAGAAACCTATGATACTCATTATAAACCTAGTAATTATAAAATAGGTGATTTAGTAATGTATGATAACCTAATCCTCTAATAAAAAAGAAATCATAAATTGTTCATTTAACCAGACTAACACCTTTTAATCCAGCAAGTGAATTTAAATTTACTGTTAGAAATAGTAGAATTCCTATCTCTGTCCAAAATTAATTTAATTTTAATTTTTCAAAATTCTCCATTAAAATTTTTCCTGAGTATGACATTTAATTCTCGATTTAAACTACAAAAACCCAAACTATGACTTATTTTTTCAGATCTTGACCTTTCCTATCTTGCCTTTCCTTCTTCCCCGAGTTTTCCAGTTCGAAATTTCTTGTCTACGTCACCCCTAGCCCAGGAGATGAGGAGAGGGAAAATTCTATATTATTTTGCACCGCATTGAAAATCTGACTCTAGTTCTCTCAAAATTCTCAACCAAAGACAAATATTTTCTATACTTTTTTCGACACTAGATTTTCCACTATGTATGTTACTTCTTCTTTTTCTTTAGAGAGAAAGTAAGAAGTGATAGCACATGCTCGATGTCCCCCCCCCCAGATAATACTCCTAACACCTCCTCAAAATGTTATCTTTTTTATTTTATTGTTAGGAGAGTCAACTTTGGTAAAGAAAATGGCTTGGGTTTTTGCATACTTTCATACCAGCCACGATCCTCTGACCATAGTTTAGCAGAGAAGTGCTACCACACACACACACATATTTTTCACATAACTTTAGAAAACAAAAATTTTCTTTATTTTTCATTTTGGCATAATTCCGTAATAAAATTTTCTTTTCTTTCTTCTTACTGTAGGGTAATATTCATTTCTAGTTTCAAAAATTCTAAAAAAGATGTTAACTTGATCACAGAAGTTATTTGTCTTAAATTTTAATTTTGTAGGAATTTGTATTTTTCAAAACAGTTTCATAAAATGCACAATGCCAAAATCCAGTTACCTTTTATTAGGCGACAGAGGTTTTTTTTTTTTTTTTTTTTTTTTTTTTTTCTTTTTGATATTTTGTACTTAAGCTACCCTCAACCATCAGCAAATTAATCAGGCTGATTTGTTGGAGAGGATAGGCCTACACTTTTCATTCAAGGTGTTATTGTCTTATTCAACGTGTTATTAGAGATTTACATTGAATTGCTTTCTTAAGGTATTCTATCATAATGTTTTGCTGCTATTTTTTCTGTGTGTGCGTGTGTGTGATTATGGCAAAGCCTCGAGGGCTATCTGCCTAAGGGAAGGGATGCCTTCGTGGAGGACTTTCTAAGGGGAACCGGCTCTTATACACGTTACACATGGGGAAAACCACGAAAACGCCCATGCAGCCAGCCCGTTCGCGGGATTCGAACCTCGGACCGAACTACCAGTGTTCAGCGTCTTTAGCGCTCGGCCGCTGGTGGGCCCCCATAATGTTTTGCATTGAATTTGTATATTGCTTTAAAATATATCAGTGTATTGTTAATTACCTATGATGAGAAGAATGAATGCAAGTAATACATTATGCATAAATTGTATATCTTCTAAGTTTTATATAAAAGATGTTCCCCACAAAATTTTAAAAAAATCTTTTATTCAAAACTTGCTATGGAAACACCTTCATTGAAAAAAGTATTGTGGACTTATTTTTATCTTGTGAACTTAACTGGCATCAAGAGATTTTAGCAAGTATTGTCATTCCACTTCAACTACTTTTACGAAAGTAAACAAAAATGTCACTTTTCAATGGACATTTTCAAAAAAAATTGAGAGTTTTAATGATTAGAATTAATTACTCAGTATTATTCTTACATATATTATTATCTTATAGTTCTAAATTAGATATGTTTATTTATAAATCACAGGTCCCACTGTAAAAATTATATAATTAAATATTTTCTAATTATATCAGAAAAATCATAAGTTATGATAGGGCATAGTTAAAGCCTGTAAGCTATGTCCTGGATGTTTTTCTTCATGGCTTTCCTCATACTCTAAAATTTTTCTTGCATCACTAATGTACTAATGCTTTGCTCTCCCTGCCTCTTGTTTTGATGGGGGGAAGAAGATGTAAAATACAAAAAATACAATGGTTTTGCTCTAAGCAAACAGGCAACCTCTAACTTTCTGCGATTTCAGATCATTCCCTTAGCCAGGACTTTTGAGAACATTCTGGCATGTTATATAATCGCTACTAAAAATGCAGAGTTCGTGCCATTTTTCGTCAGATTGCTTTTCACCTCCTGCTGCTATAAGACTCTTGCTGCCGCTCTTCCCGCCTGTATTTCTTTGTCTGAATAGTATGACGCAGTAAATTTAATGTTAATCCTATTTAGTCTAAATTACTATCGTTTATGTAATCTTGAAGAATATAAAAGAATAATGATTTGCCATTTGAATTGAATAAAGATGTGGAATCAAAACAGCTAACTTCTTATGTGTTATCATTTCACGCCAAGCTTCATTCATGTGCCCAATTGCCAAAATATCATACACACACACATATATATATAAATTCAAAGAAATGAGGTAATACAGTCAAAAGTCGTTAATCCAGACTCATCGGGACTTTGGCAATTCCGGATTATCGATTTTTCCGGATTATAGATCATCAGTTTAAATCTGGTAAGATGGCATGCAGAAATTATAAAATTAAAAATATGAAACCATAATTTATGAAATAAATAACAATTATGATCTAAAGGGTATCAAAATTTACAAAAAAAAGAGCTTAATATTTATTTGTTTACTTTATTAAACATTTCTTTCAATGTAAGTTGTTTAAGTTCCTTTGTTTTTTTATATGATAATACTTTCTCTTTAATTCTATAAACAGACATAATTTCTTGTTCAGTCACACAGTTCCGCTGTTCAAGTCCTATAATTGCTGTGTCGAGAATACCAACTAATTTGTCAATCGAAATTTTTTCGTTTTCAATAAACTCTGTGTCACTTTCTTCGCTATCGGAAGCGAATTATAATGACGAGGAATTTGATTTAAATCATATCAAAGATGGAGTACATTGAGATAAAAACTACATTTAGTAAGGAATTATAAACCAAATAAAATAAAAACACCTGCGCTTGAAGATAAGGATAGTGCTGACAGATCAACTTTCCAGTTCATTGCGCGCCGCGTGCAACGTCCCCCCCCACCACACGCTGCATAGGCAGCGTGAAATTGATAAACAGATTTTGGAATGGTTAGATAAACAAAGGATGTGCCTTTATCCATTTTTTGCAGCAATTCCTCTTTTTGTTTATTGGACTTTCGTTAATGAACCATACTTTCGCTTTGTAGATCCTGTACATATTAGTAAATATATATCAGAAATTCTATTTGACATAATCGAAAGTTCAAGCTTACTTTTATAAAATTGCTCTAACAGTCTGCAAAAAATAATAAGCCGGATCCAATTCGAAGATTAAACGCAATCTGCAACATTAACTGAATTAGATCATTTTAGCTTAGCTTATACCCTCTGTTATACATTAAACGCGCATTCGTAAACGTATTTTGCGCATGCGCACACGCATATTCGCAGCCGTAAAGGTCTTACGCTCATGCTTTGAGGTCCGGATTATGGGTGTCCGAATTAACGACTTTTGACTGTACTTCATATTTAAAAAGCCTAATACTGGTGATTAATATGCCAAGTAAGAAAATAAGAATTTATTTATTAGAATAGTTTTTGGTTTATATACTTAGAAAAGAAAGGAAATTAGGAAACTCACTAAACTTTAATGCTAGTGTTGTAAAAAATTATTATTAGTATTATCTATAAGAAAGTAAAAAATAAATAAATAAATAAAACTTAAAAGTAAATTTATGAAAATGGTATAAAAAGAATATTTTAAGAAAAATCGAATCAATTATTTCTATTAAATGGAAATTAATTCACTTTTCATGGGCAACAAACCAATTTCCAATCAATTAATAATAACGAATAGAAGCAACAAGCCCGCACCGACAAACCAGCAGTTTATCTCCTTTGCCTGTCTGAACAAGAAAATTCTTGTCTTATTTGAATGTCCCTCTGGGAGTCCACTCAGGTAAAACCTGGGAAGCTACTGATTAAGATCTGTACCCAGGCAGTCTTGGCCACGGGTGTTTAAAATCAGTCTCCACAGGACTGGAGTCATCGCTAGCTATGGCTGTTTCAGACTTGGCAAGAACCATATGGCGTTCTCATCCGTTCCGCTGGTTGTGGTTCAGCTATATAGTCAGATATTCACGGTGTCCGGGGCGAAACACTCCTGTCAGTGGAGTTGGCAAATTCAGCGAGCCTTTAAACTGCTTGAGGTTTCCAGTAAGTGCCTGGAGCCTCAAAACTGCATATTCATATCCTTCCATGGTTTCCCACTGGGACCACATCTGTATACCATGACACGGTGTTAGCAGGCTGGATTGGTGGCCTGGTCTGTTTGACAGCATTTAAGTGTCTTCGTTCTGTTGTCCGGCATTGGGGTCTCTGTTGACGGCAGATGTTTTTACCAGCCTTCTAGAATGGGGACGTGGAATGCGAGCCGCTGGGTATTCCTGTCGACTCAGTATTAACTCGTTGGCTTGACCGATAGCTTAGCGGCCTCTTGAATCTCCTCTAGGACTTGAGGCATTTAACAGTGCTAAGGCAGCCTCGAGCTTGCCAGGTATGAGCGCCCCTTCCTCCTAGCACACTTTCTTATTTGACCTAAAGTTATAACCAGGTCAGGAGTTCATCTCTCGTATTCTCTTCTGTCTTATTTGAATGTGAAATAAGTGATGCCAATGAGTATGTAAAACGCATTTTTCATATTATTATGTTCATAATGCTTCATTTTAAACGTTAACCATAAGCAAAAGGTGTCACTGTATAAAGGTACTCGCTAGACATTTGCACGATGGCACCGATTAGGATTAGCGTGGGCCTGAGAAGCAAATATGTTTCGCCGTCTTAATATGCAAGAACCAATTCTAAAATACTAAGCAAAGAAGATACCAAGCCAAAACTGATTTAAAGTACTAGTTAAGAACAAATCTTGGGAAGATATTTAAGAATTAGAAGTTTTCCAATTTGATTCAGAGTACAAGCCAAGAGAAAATTTTAACTAACTATTTAAGTAAAGATTAAAATATTCTTGCATAAAAGACTATTCCCAGACACATTAGCTGCTTGTCAAATTAAAACAATGCAAAAACTACATAAACATAAAAGAAACTAAAAACAGTACAAAAAATCTGAAATAAGAATCAATTTTAAACATTCTTATTATATTAAAATAAATTTGTAAAAATGCATGAGACTTTCAAAATCTATACAATTAATTTATATTTGAAGTATTATACATATATATATATATATATATATAAGACCAGAAATTGAAATTCATAATCAATACATTTCAAATAATTATATATACACACACAAGAAATGGACACTTAAAACAGTCTCGTATACAGGAAATTAAAATGTCCCCTCCATACAGTTTTGCCATTGCCTGTTTGAATTAATCAAAAATTCACTGAAGTGTTACAAAATATGAAATCATTATTAAAACAAATTTCAAATTCCAAATTGGGGCTGCCAGATGCCCATATTCAGTGGAGATTACATTATTCAAAGTTTGATGGCTCTAGGTAGTGTTCTTTTATCACAATGCAAGAAACATACATACATTTATGCAGATTCTTTATTATTTAATTTCTTTAAATGTAAACACAGGGTGATAATATTTGGTGACAACAATTTGAAAATTGAACCAACAGTTAAAGTTTTCAACGTAAAATGCCAAAATGAAATTAATAGCCTTTCTGGGCTAATCTGTGTATGGAATCTATGCCCTAATCAATAACTGAATCCATAACTATGAATCACTTCTTCTACTGGACCATATTCTTTCCATTACATTAGCAAATCAGCAGCTCAAATTCATAATTAATGCATGTTACTTTTGTTCCACATATCTAACTAATAATTTATTGGTTAAAAAAAAAAAAGAAAAAAAGACAATCGTAAAATGCAGCTAAAGTGGTTGTGAGAAATTCAGACAAAAGCATTAATGCATGTAATTTATGAATACAAATATTCTATGATATGATTTAATCTTAAATATGAACTTAGTTTAAAAAAAGTGAAATATTACAGACCATATTCATGATCAAATATTCATATTTAAAAATACATCGCAAATTTTATTAAACATATTAAAGAAACTTTTCAGTTACTCTTTCCTCAACATATTTTATGAAAATTACCTACAGATGAAATTAATAATTTTATTTTAGAGCGCTTGCAAATAATAAAAATAATACAGTCAAAAGTCGTTAATTCGGACACCCATAATCCGGACCTCAAAGCTAAAAACTTTCTGTTCATCCGCCGCGTTGACAAATGCGCATAGGGGTTTACGCGTGAGCGTAAGACCTTTAAGACAGCACATATGCGTGTGTGCAAGCGCAGAATACGTTTTCGCGTGCGCATTTTATGTACAACGGAGGGTACAAACTAAATTTATCTAATTATCTATTTCAGTTAATGTTGATGATTGTGTTGTTCCTTAATCTTTGAATTGGATCCGGTTTATTATTTTTTGCAGACTGTAAGAGCAATTTTATAAAAGTAAATTGAACTTTCGATTATGTCAAATAGAATTTCCGATGTTGGAGCTCCCAAAGGATTTACAAAACGAAAGTAGTTTCGATGTCCATCAAACAAAAAGTGGAATTGGTGCAAAAAATGGATAAAGACATGAAGAAGGTGACAGAGAGGTTAGTGAAAACGAAAAAATTTCGATTGACAAGTTAGTCGGTATTCTCGGCACAGCAATTACGGGACTTCAACAGCGGAACTTTGTAACTGAACAAGAAATTATGTCTGTTTATAGAATTAAAGAGAAAGTATTATCACATGAAACGAAGCAACTTAAACAAATTACATTGAAAGAAATGTTTAATAAAGTAAACAAATAAATATTAAGTTTTTTTTTTTTTTTTTTTTTGTAAATTTTGATACCCTTCAGCTCATAACTGTTCTTTATTTCATAAATTACAGTTTCATATTTTTAATTTTAGAATTTCTGCATGCCATCTTACGAGATTTAAACTGATGATCTATAATCCGGAAAAATCGATAATCCGGAATCGCCGAAGTCCCGACGAGTCCAGATTAACGACTTTTGACTGTATAAATATTACCAGTCATTCAGATCTCCATTCAAGTTCTTTCTTGCTATTTCAGAATTAATCAAATCTCAAGAAACATTATTCTTGTTAGAAATTATGTTTAATTCTTTTGCATCAAAAATCAAAATCAAAATGTCAAGAAAACTGTTTTAAATAAAAAATATTTCTGAATCTATTTTTTTTTTTTTAATTTTATTTTTGAATATTTTAAAATTTGAGTTTTTCACACATATTATAGGACAGATCACTAAAATATTTTAATACTAAATTTCATAAAAAAGGCATACAAGAAAAATCTTGCCCTGGGGCGCGGGGAACCAGATGCACATAAAATAACAGATACCCATAAAAACAAACTTTTAACCAGTAAATATATCAAATACCTTGCAACAAATTTAATCATCTGTTTGCTAGTGGTCTCTGAAACAGAGAGAAGGCACTGAATGGTATACTGTCTTTGGCGCAGAACAAAAAAGCACTGTTTACCTGAAGGAGAAAAAGGGAAAGCACAGTAAAATGAAAAACCATGCAAAACTGTTGTTTTAACTTTTTTAAAACAAATACAATTAAAAGAAGAACAGTAATAAACTAAATGAAACAATAGTTACATTTTATTACTGGTATAGAATTTTAGTTCCTTCTCAGACTATATTTCTAAGATTTCATATGATAATGAATGATAATTTTATATTTGAGTTTTTGCACTTACAGATCAAAATTCATTATTATAAAGAAAGAAATAATTTACATAGCTCTTTGGTTTAGGACACAAAATAAAAAAATTTCAATTTTTGAAAGCCACATTTATATTATATTATCAGAAAAAATCCATCGACTAATTTCCACATATTAGAAATTCTTGAGATTTTTCTACATAGTAACCATGCTATTACCAATACAACTTCTCTGCTTTTGTCACAGGAATATTTCAGGTCTGGCCCTTTCACCCAGTCACACATTCACCTTCGATGAAAGGTACCAAAACTTCCATTACAAAACATGGCCCTAATAATAATGCTTTAATAAAATTTAACTACGTTCATTAGAAACTGCAGATGGCATAAAATTTCAGTTCATATATTATTTACTAGCGGGCTGTAGCCAAAGCAAAATTTATAAATTCTATGTAACCCTGAAAAGCAAGCGTATAAAAACATTTCAGCATGAATGCATTCTTTCGAAGCAACAAACAATTCATAAATACAGTCAAAAGTCTTTAATCCGGACTTGTCGGGACTTCGGTGATTCCGAATTATCGATTTTTCCGGATTATAGATCATCAGTTTAAATCTGGTAAGATGGCATGCAGAAATTATAAAATTAAAAATATGAAAGCGTAATTTATAAAATAATGAGCAATTATGATCTAAAGGGTATCAAAATTTACAAAAAAAAAGCTTAATATTTATTTGTTTACTTTATTAAACATTTCTTTCAACGCGTGCATGCGTAAAGTATACATTATGCATAGCCGAAATTAGAAAATTGCAACCAGAAAACTATTTGATTTGTATTCGTGATATTTATAATGACGAGGAATTCGATTTAAATCATATCAAAGACGAAGTACATCGAGATGAAATACTATATTTAATAAGGAATTATAAGCCGAATAAAATAAAAACATCTGTCCTGAAGATAACGATAGTGTTGACAAATCAACTTCCAGTTCATTGCGCGCCACCAAGTTCCGCAAAAATTAGAGTTTTCAGATGTTTCAATTAATATCTCGGCTGATTAGTGTTGTATGAAGATGAGACTAATCAAAATGGCTTCCTAAAAATTTTAGGATCCAGAATAATATATTTAAAATTCAGCAATGCAATTTTTATTTTATACAGTCAAAAGACTTTAATCCGGACTCGTCGGGACATTGGCGATTCCGAATTATAGATCATCAGTTTAAATCTGGTAAGATGGCATGCAGAAATTATACAATTAAAAATATGAAATTGTAATTTATGAAATAAAGAGCAATTGTGATCTAAAGGGTATCAAAATTTACAAAAAAAAAAAAAAGCTTAATATTTATTTGTTTACTTTTTTAAACATTTCTTTCAACGTGCGCATGCGTAAAGCATACATTACGCATAGTCAAAATTAGAAAATTGCAATCAGAAAACTATTTGATGTGTATTCGTAATTGTATTTATAATGACGAGGAAATTATTTAAATCATATGAATTCATCGAGATGAACACTACAGTTAGTACGGAATTATAAGCCGAATAAAATAAAAACATCTGCGCTGAAGATAAGGATAGTGCTGACAGATCAACTTCCAGTTCATTACGTGCCACGATGCCCCCCCCCTGCAGAGCAGCGTGAAATTGATAAACAGATTTCGAAATGGTTAGAGAAACAAATCACCTCTGTCACTTTCTTCATGCCTTTATCCATTTTTGCAGACAATTCCATTTTTTGTTTAATGGTGTAATGTATTTTGCAGTAATTTACAAAACAGACGATCTTCTCAGTAGAACATAAATTTTATTTCTAGTTCTCGGTGATAGACAAATTTTATACAATTCTTAAGTGGCAAAATTTTAATACTACTCCTAGCTGTTAAAATCTTCAGAATACTAATCTTTTTTTAAAACAATATCTCTCGTTGCTGAGTAACGGTTTGATACAAATATGGCATTGCCACTTCAACAATAATTATATTTATTTATTAAATAACAAGATATTACAACCTCTCCCCCCTCCAGATAAATTTTAATTTATATTTTTTACAAATTAAAGTTTACGGTTTTTAAAACAATAATATCAGCACAACACAGAATAAAAATACAAGCATTTAAAGGAGAATTAAACAAGAAATAACATAATAACATACACTGAAGAAGAGAGGAAGGAACAAAATATTTTTTTTTTCTATATAGAGAAACAAATTATTTAATCAGGCAAGGGAGTACGACTTAATGCGTCTACATTTTTATGGTTTTTACCACTTCGATGAACGATCGTGTAATTGTAGGGTTGTAGTACCAGTACCCATCTCATAAGTCGTGGATTTAGACTCACATTATTTTTGAGCCAAACTAAGGGATTATGATCGGTCATGATGAGGAATTTAGTATGCCCATCTAAATAACATTGAAGTTTCTTTACAGCAAATATTATGGCGGCGCATTCCTTTTCTGTGGTACAGAAAATTTATTCAGTTTCTGTAAACTTCTTACTGAGGTATAATACTGGATGTTCATTGTCTCGTTCATCTTTTTGAGCTAAAATGACACCCATACCAGAGTTTGACGCATCAGTTTGCAAAATAAACTCCTTATTGAAATCAGGTGCATGTAGTATAGGCCTTTGAGACAGTTTCTCCTTTAGCTCTTCAAATGCTTTTTGTGCACTATTCTGTCCAATTTATTTTCCCTTTCTTTAAGTTTCCTTTCAAAGTTTCTGTTAAAGGTGTGATAGATGAGAACATGGGAACGTAATGATTATAATATCCCGCTAATCCTAAAAATGCTCTGACTTGACTTTTTGTGGATGGCACTGGAAAAATCAAGAATAGCTTTTACTTTCACTTCACTTGGCATTCTTATACCACGACCTACAATATGTCCTAGATATTTTACTCTATCTTGAGAAAATTTACATTTTATTGGTTTAATAGTTAAACCAGCATCCTTTATTTTGGACAAAACGGCTTTCAGGTGAGTTAGATGTTCTTCCCAGGTGTTTGTAAAGATTGCCACGTCATCTAAATATGGAACAGCAAAGTTTTCACAACCGTGAAGGATTTCGGCCATCATTTTACTAAATGAAAATGGTGCATTTTTAAGTCCGAAAGGCATCCGTAGAGGTCTAAATGTGCCAAAACTTGTAACAAAAGTGGCTAATCTTTGAGCATTAGGTGTTAAAGGTATTTGCCATTGTTAAATCCTAAAGTTTGCCATTGTTAAATCCAAAAGTTTTGTATCCCTTTGTTAAATCCAAAAGTGTTATATATTTTGCGCCTGCTACCATTTCTACTCGTTGTTCGATGCTAGGCAAGGGGAAGAATTGTGTTTTAGTCAATTTATTCAATTTTCTATAGTCGATACAAGGTCTTGGATCCCTCCCTGCTACTTCTACTAAAATCATAGGAGAAGTGTAATCTGAATCTCCTATTTCAATTATTTTATGCTGAAGCATTTTATCGATTTCTGTTTTTAATATATCCATTTGTCTAGGAGACATTCTGTATGGTTTACAGTGGATTGGGGTGTTTTCTGTCAATTGAATATCATGCGTTATTAAATGAGTTTTTCCAGGTTTCAGCATATCATGCAATTCTTCAATCTGTTATTCATTTAGCTTATCACTTAAGGAGCTGTTTTCTTTGATGTCCTCAAAATCGAACAATGTTGGTTCAGAGTCAATTGTTGGGAAATTTTCCTCCATATCATCAATTTCAGACTGATCTTCTGTAATCATAAGGATAACCGATTCTGCTCGTCTATGATAGGGTTTTAGCATGTTAACATGGTAGACTTGGTTAAAGTCATTTTTTTTCTTCGAAACTCACAACATAATTAGTTTCGGATAATTTCTTCTCAACCTTCCCAGGACCTTTCCATTCAACTGCTAGTCTGTTTGGTTTATTCGTTGATACAACTAATACTAAATCCCCTTCAGAGAATTCTCTTTTTATAGCTTTACGATCGTACCACACCTTTCTTTTGGTTTGCATTTCCAGCATTTTATCTGTAGCCAGCTCTTTGCATCTTTTTTAACCGATTTATCATTTGAAAAACGTATTCAACAACATTATTTCCTTCGTCTTCAGGATTCATCCATTGTTCATATAATAATGTTACAGGTGTTCTAAGATGTTCGACCATATACTAATTCTGCAAGTGTAAATCCCGTACTCTCATGCGTTATTGTTCTTAAAGCAAATAGAGCTGCAGGGAACTTGCTTCTCCCACTCAGGGGCTGCTTCGATACATAAGACTTTTAAAATTCGTTTGATTCATTTGTTCGTGAAATCTTTCAACAGGGTTGCTCTGTGCAGATGTGTACTGAGCTTCTAGTTACTTTATTTCAAATTTTTCCAAATTTTTCAATTTCTTACAAATTTAAAATTAATGGTTAAATTAATTAACATTAATTAATTAGTTAAATTGCTCATAAAAGGAGGTACCTTTTTTTACCTTTTTTGATCAGTTTGTATTTCTTTCGGGAAATCCATTCTACTAAATATTTGTAACATTGGCTTCAATTACTGACGTTGTGCCAATATTAGGAACAGGTACAGCATCCGGATATTTTGAAAGCTAAACAAATAGCTGTAATTAAATATCTATTGCCATTCGGTTTATTGGTAAAGGACCGCATGCGTCAAAGTTAATTTTTGAAAATACTTCTGCAATAATTGGTACTAAAGTCAAAGGTGCTTTGGCTTTATCATTAGATTTTCCCACTCTTTGACATGGATCGCAAGTTTTAACATACTCTTCTATTTCTTTATAGCAATTAGGCCAGTAAAAGTATCTTGTTAATCTATCTTTAGTTTTCACGACGCCTAAATGTCCAGATGTGTTATCATGACATAATGACTTTATTTGATCCCTATATTTTTCAGGAATAACAATTAATTCCCTTTCATTTCCATTTTTATCTATTTTCCTTTTCACCAACAATCCGTTTTCTTTTACTTTGAAATCATTTGTCTTGCTGGAATTTTCATTTTTAGCTTCGTTAAGCAATGACGCTAGATCTCTGCTTTGATGCTGAGATTCAATTAATTCCTTTGAATTAACATTAATCACTTTCTTAATTTTCTTGTCTTCCTCATCAGCTTGCAGTAAAATATCTTCGTCAGTGTCAATAAACCTCAATTCTTCTAGTTTCTCCATTTCAATTTCTCTGCTTCGATCATGTTCAAGAAATCCTTTTACTTGAGATCGTGTCAAAAACCGCATTTATTTTTTCTAAATTTAAGAATGATTTATTTTTGAACAATTGTGCAGTTTTGTTACCCAATACATATCTTCCGGGATCATTTGTAACAACAGCTGCCTTTGTCTTTATATTACCAAGTTCGCAATTAATTTCAACTTCCGCTAACGGTAGACACACTAAATGGTCATTTAAAAGATATTGTACCCAGACATGTTCTCCAGTCATTTTTGCGTTATCTATGTATTTCCGAGAAATAACATCAACAGTGGCTCCTGTGTCTCGAAGAATAGGCATTTCATGCCCATTCACTAAACCGTTAATTGTATATGTCTCTAACAAATCATCATTTGAAGATACGCAATTTACCTTTTCATTTGGTTTTACGCGAGACACTGAGGCTTAAAAAGTTCATATGATCCACACTCGAAACAATGTGGTCGATATCTTTTGTCATATAAATTTTCTTGGTTTTTGTTTTGGAACTGATTCCTTTGCTGATGATCTTTCTTGTATTTTGAATCATCCCATCTATCAGAATACTTAAAATGAGGCGGATGCTCTATTTTTTTCACAAAATTATCATAACGCGGTTTAAATGATCCTCTGTTAAATTTCTCAGTCTGATTGGTAGAAAATTTTGGTTTTATTGTTTTTCTCGCATCTTCAAAATCTTCAATTTTCTTAACCATTTCAGTAGGTGAAATGATGGTTGTCCATTGATCCATAAAATGTTCTTTGAAATCAGGAGAAGTACGCTTTTTTATTTGATCAACCAGCATGAGATCTTTTAGCTGTTCAAAAGTTTTAATGTTTAATCCGTTAAGCCATCCTTCTAAATAATTCTTTAATTCATAGTAGAAATCATACCAAGTACTTTCAGTAGATTTTTGGTGTTTATTAAATAGTTGTCGAAATTTTTCCGCACTTAATTTAAATCGTTGTAACAGTAAAGGTTTTACATATTCATACTTTTTCGCGTCCTCTTCTGGTTCTCTAGCAATAAGCTGAACAATGTCGGGAGGCAGCAATGAAATAAGTTGAGTCACTTGATTTTCAGCAGGTATATTCATTATTTTAGCTTGACGCTCAAATAACACCAGAAAAAAACTTATTTCATCTTCTTTAGGGTTGAAACGTGGCATGACATTGTGAATTCTGATTTTTAAAGGCTGCTCAGGTAACCTCGTAGTTTCTACCGGCTGTGCTGTGGCAGCCATTGCTTCCAGTTGAAGTTTCTGTAGCTCAAAGGCTCTAATTCGCTCTTCTCTTTCAAGCTCTTCTTTTCGTTCTTCTCTTTCACGTTCTTCTCTTCTTTCTCTTTCTCTCTCTTCTCTTCGCGTTCTTTTTCTCTTTCTTCTCTTTCGCGTTCTTTTTCTCTTCCTTCTCTTTCGCATTCTTCCTTTCTTTCCCTTTCTTCTCTAATTGCAGCCTTAGCAATTCTTTAATTGCTAAGTTCTCGAGTAAACTCCTCATCATAACCGGGACTTTCAGTAATCAGTTTATGCAACTGAGCAATCTTAAATTCAGGTTTCACGGTTAAACCTAACTCTTCTGCTAATACTTTTAAATCCTGTTTTTCACTCCTAGCTAAGAATGACATGTTGACACAAGTTACTTTTAATAGGCTTCCTTTTGAAATTCAATCTAAAAGCTCGTACTTGTATTAAAAATATATAATTTCTGGCAAGATTTAATTTCTCGAATACGAAATTCACACTAACCAATTGGAGAGAATTATTTAAACAACTTTGCCAGGTTGGCACAAAATAATTTAATACTACGTCGGGTTGACGTTTTAACTCACTATTCACAAGCCTCGTTAGCTATAACTATATAAACAACCTTTGCCAGTTAGGCAATACAATGGAATTTTACCAACGTCAGTTTGACGATTTTACTATCTATCTCCACCACGCTGGTTGGCGATAACAAAAACAATTTTTGCCAGTTTGGCAATACAACTTTTAGAATATACAATCTGTAATAACGTCGGGATGACGTTACTATTTTTACCACACGCCTGGATGGCGAGAACTAAATAAAAGACTTTTGCCAATTCTGCAGTAGTATAATCAAATTCACTCTACGTCAGTTTTGACGTTACTACTTATTTTCACATGCCTACCTGCTTGGCAACAAATTCAAAAACTCAGCTAGCAGTTTTTTTTTTTTTTTTTTTTTTTTTTTTTTTTATAATGCCGGATGACTTACACATATCAATTATCAACATAAAATTTCAATACAAATAAAAGTAAAGCATAAATAATAATTTTAAAATACTTCTTTACCACAAATATCAATTATAAATTTTAGCTGAATATTTTTAGTGTTAGTTATTTTAAACAAAATCTTACATGATAAACTATAATTCTGAAATAAAGTATTAAAATTCAATAAAAGCTTTTTTAAGAAAACCAAAAGTTAATCTTATCTTCAGAGATCAGCAGTATCCTGTTTTGAAAGATTTTTGCTCGGACGCAAGTTATAAAAGCACAGAAGATAACCTTTGAATGATCTGCTTCAGATCTGGCTTTAAAACGGCAGACTTCTTACATCCATTTCTCCTTGAAATAAACAAACTCGGCAATTGGTATTAGCAAACTTGTTCTAAAAAATTCAGCAAATTTCTGGGATTAGGAGACCAGCACCATCGAAATTGATAATTGCACTCCTAATTTCCAGTATCTCGGTGGAACCTCCATTTTATTAGGACTGTAATGTATTTTGCAGTAATTTACAAAACAGACAATCTTCTTAGTAGAACATAAATTTTATTTGTAGTTCTTGGCGATAGACAAATTTTATACAATTCTTAAGTGGCAAAATTTTAATACTACTCCTAGCTGTTAAAATTTTCAGAATACTAATCTTTTTTTAAAACAATATCTCTCGTTGCTGAGTAACGGTTTGATACTAATATGGCGTTGCCACTTCAACAATAATTATATTTATTTATTAAATAACAAGATATTACAATGGACATTGAAACATGCTTTCGCTTTGTAGATCCTTTGGCAGCTCCAGAATCGGAAATTCTATTTGACATAATCGAAAGTTCAAGCTTACTTTTATAAAATTGCTCTAACAATCTGAAAAAAGTAATAAGCTGGATCCAATTCGAAGATTAAGGAACAATGCAATCTGCAACATTAACTGAAATAGATAATTAGATAATTTTAGCTTAGCTTATACTGTCCATTATACATTAAACACGCATGCATAAACGTATTTTGTGCATGCGTAAACACATATGCGCATGCGTATAGGTATTGTGCGCATGCGTAGAAAGTTTGTAGCTTTGAGGTTCGGATTATGGATGTTCAGATTAAAGACTTTTGACTGTAATTTGTAAAATTAGATATTTAATAAACAAATTCTCCGATTTGAAAGCGAGCAGTGGCAACACTCTTCGAAATAAAGCAGATTTTTATCTCTAGTGTGTGAGACTGTTGCCATTCAGAAAACAGAAGGGCGATAATTAGTGTTTTTCGAGTTTTTAATTGCCACAAACAAACAGACAGACATGCACAGATTTTAATAGTATAGATACTAATTCTTATGCAGTATTCATTTATTTTTCTGCACACATTTGTTGTATCATTTGTTATACAACAGTTCAGTCTTGTTATTAATAAATATTAGAAGCACTAGACATATCTGATGTAATTATTAAATGAAAACTTTAAAATAAAGGAGGAACAGTTTAGCATATAATGTATTTAAATTAACAGCACTAGAGAAATTAGAATCTTTTTTAACTGCATTTGTGTGTGTGTTGACTGTTAGCTCGTACAGCTCCAATGAAATCTCTCATATAGTAGTATTATTCGAATACCCGTATGTATACCTCAAATTGCTTACACTATAGAACTATAAGCCTTCACACAGTTTTACAACATGTAGGATTCTTAATGCAAATTATTTAAACCCTATCTTTTCTCAATATTGCATTATTTATTTAAATAATAATTTCATTTACTACATACCTTTAGCACGACTGGTGTGTAAGCGACCTCGAACCCACACTTTTTTGTCTCCAAGATCATGTTCGAGAGAACTGACTGGTACCAGTTTTCTGCATACTTTTGTTGCCGACTGAATCATTGGCATCTTTCCATAGAAATCTTTTGAATAATCATCTCCTTCAATTTCTTGTTTTGATTCCTAAAATTACCATTAAAGTCATCATTTAAAAAGCAAATGAATATTAAATGCATTAAAAAGCTTTCAAATGTAATTTAAACGATTATAATTCAATTCTGAACAGAATATGGCTCTGCCATTTTTGATATCAAGTTAAAGTTTCAGTTAAGTGTTCACAAATTTCCAGGACAGCTATGCTACACAAAGATAAATCAGAATCACATAACAATGCAGGGTCAGAAAATCATCCTTATGTGTTACTGTACAAAATAGACAAGAAATTAAATATCAGCACATTTAGTTATAACTGATTTTGTTTTATAAGTTTTATTACTCATTATATATTTGGCAGTATTATTGAGATCACAGAATATGTTTAAAGCTGTAACAGTTATACTCGACATCACAGGACCACATACATTTTGGGAAATTCCTGGTATGTTCTGGACTTCTGAAGCACTACACAGATGCATGCTACACAGTCTTCATCCACTTCAACAAAGCTATTTTAACAAAGCTTCTTGCTGGTACATCAGTTCTCTGATGTAGTCAACTTTTTCTTTAGGTATTAAGTATTTAGATTTAGTTTATGAATAAAAAAAAGCACTTTTATTCAAATTTTGGTATTTACCAACATGTTTTATATTTGTTTAATTTACATTAAAAATATAATCCATATTTAAACAAACACATATGTACTTTTCAAATTTGGAGAAGGAGAGGTTGAATGATCGTTTAGCAATGGTGAAAAGGGCACATGAGGGAAAAACTGTTGAGAATCGCTGGTCTAGACTGAGCCAACTTGAATTAAATATAGAATTTTATACTTTACGGATCTTTAGTTCTTACTGTAGAGTCATTATGTTATTTTTTTATGCGGGAGACATGAAAAATAAGCAATGTCCTCTTCAAGACTAGAGGCTGTATCTCTCGAATACAAGCCGACTGTACTAACCGTTACACCACAAAGGCATTCTGGAAGGAAGGAGAAAATACCTTATATACTCCCCCTTTTAAAGACGACTGGGTATTAGGGAACCCAGTCGTCAGATCTTGGTGGAGAAGAATCATCATCCACCAACTTTTTTTTTTTAATTCAGGCGTCATGCTGGAGACGTGAAAAATGAGCAATGCGCTCGCTGGGACTGTAACTTGAATCTCTCGAATACGCACCGAGTATGCTAACCGTTACATCACGAAGGAATGTTGGAAGGAGGAAGAAAATACTATCCTGTTATGCATTATTTCAGCCTGTACTGTCAATTCTACTTTCCGCTTCCTCAGCCGAATGTAAATAAGTTTAGTCAAGTAAACATGTTTAGGATGCAAATCAGTTAAGAGTATTTAGGGCAAAGTTTTTGGCGACTGAAAGGGAATGCGAGAAATGGCTACGTCGACTTCTGCTGTCAGGGTTTAGCCATTTGCGGCCATTGCATTAAGTGCGTCAGTAAGTTAATTGTCTGAGAAAGCCTGTTAGGCTAATCTTCAATTCCTCTACTTAATTTATTACCTTGAAGTGTTAAGCTTATTAGTTGTGCTGATACTTTAGCAAACTCAATATTTTGTTGATTGAGTTGTTATAAAATGTCAATACAACAATTTAAGTATTGTTGTCTGGTTGTACTGATACTTTAGCAACTCATTTGTCAATACTGAGTAGCTAAAGTATCAAGACATCTATACAACAATATTTAAATGTAAGCAGTAAGCATAAATATGCAGAATGAAGTAAGCTTTGCAAACAATTTTATGGTGCTAACTCAATTTTGATAGTAAACACTGATGTAAACAGATCATGTTTGCGCTAAAAGAACATCATCTACATCACACCTTTATCATCTTCATCACGCCTTTATCTACTTCAATATGTAATGTCCTGAAACATATCATCTTCATCACGCCTTTATGTACTGCAATATGTAATGTTCTGAAACATGATGCCTGTGCCCATTACAATAAATAACATCATAAAACATGCACCCGTACATCTATGTATCACTATATATATCATGTAATGTAATGCATTTTACTTGATCTAATTTACCTCCCGGCGGTGGCAGAACTTGCAGTGTTGGCTGGAGTCACAATTTCATCATGACTCGAAGACACAGGAAGGTTGTTATTTTTCTAGTCAGTGTGTAGAGCTAATTTCTACTTACTTCAGGTAAATATTAGATGTTCCTTTCATTTCTACATAACATAACACCACAAGCAGTGGTTTATATGTTAAGCACAAGGTGTACTCTTGTAAATAGTTCTCTTGGTTTCAATCTTTATCCTTATTCTGTTGTTACTAAACATTACGTTGATTAGTGAGTTTGGTTTGGTGTTTGTAAGCATGGCAAAACCTCGAGGGCTATCTGCCTGAGGAGAGGAATGCCTTCGTGGAAGACTTTCTAAGAGAAGCTGGCTCGTATATATGTTACACATGGGAAAACCCATGAAAATCTCCATACAATCAGCCCATTTGCAGAACCCTCAGACTGAAGTACCAGTGTATAGTGATTAACTATTTTTAAGGTAATATGGCTGAGATTATGCTATTTTTAGGGTAATATGGTCGTCAATAGATATAATTCACTATAATTATTTTCTAATGGATAATGGAATTAATTTAATCTAATGCCAATTAGAAAACGGCTATTTACAAAAGGGAGACTTAAAAAGCACCATAACTATAATTAAGAGCACTGTAATTTTTCTTTCACAATCAGCTGTTTTATAACATTAGCTGCTTTATGTGTATTTTTCATATTATACAACTGATATCCATATTTCTTGAACAATATACAGCAAATGCTGGACAAATTATTAAAATATTACAATTTGAAACATTAATACTAATTTTATATTACTATACATAATACAGTCAAAAGTCGTTAATCCGGACTTGTCGGGACTTCGGCAATTCCAGATTATCAATTTTTCCAGATTTTAGATCATCAGTTTAAATCTGGTAAGATGGCATGCAGAAATTAAAAATTAAAAATATGAAACCGTAATTTATGAAATAAAGAACAATTATGATCTAAAGGGTATCAAAATTTACAAAAAAAAAAAAAAAAAAAAAAGCTTAATATTTATTTGTTTACTTATTAAACATTTCTTTCAATGTAAATTGTTAAGTTGTTTCATTTTATGTGATAATACTTTCTCTTTAATTCTATAAACAGACACGATTTCTTGTTCAGTTACAAAGTTCTGCTGTTCAACTCCTATAATTGCTGTGTCGAGAATACCGACTAATTTGTCAATGGAAATTTTTTCGTTTTCAATAACCTCTGTGTAACTTTCTTCACTATCAAAAGCGAATCATAATGACGAGGAATTTGATTTAAATCATATCAAAAATGGAGTACATCAAGATAAAATACTACATTTAGTAAGGAATTATAAGCCAAATAAAATAAAAACATCTGCCCTGAAGATAAGGATAGAGCTGACAGATCCACTTCCAATTCATTGCGAAACGTTATAGCTAATCACTTAATCAGAGAATAGAAAGTTTGCTTTCAACTTAATAAATTAAGCAAATAAAGTAGTGATAAAATATACAAACAGACATCATATATTTGAGACATTAAAATTCAGATCTAAATACTATATTTATTATAATTAAAATTATAAACACATGGTTTAGTAATAAAAAACCATAAGTCCCTTTTGATTATGTGCACTTTTATCAGTGTGGGCTTATATCTCTGTGGGCTTTTATCAATGTGTGCTTTTATCAATACGCGTTTTCATTGCTGTGGGTATTTGTCACGTAGGCAATTATCATAGTGGGCTTTTTTTTGTGGGCTTTTGTCGCATGTGCTTTCGTCCAGTGGGCTTTGTCTGGGAACCATATGAAGCTATATATTAAATTGCTGATACTCTTCAGCTGAATTACTAATCACTACAAGCAAATAATATCCTTTATGTTTCAACATTTTCAAAAGATTTGCAACATTTAGGGGACATATTTTTCTAATTTAAATGTCAAATAGTTTTATATTTCATTTTATGATGCAGACATTACCTGGCAGTCCTGCTTTATGAAATTTCTTCTCATTGTCCATATATATAATATATATAATATATATAAGATAAAAATATTAAAGCAAACTTCTAATTTTAATTAGGTTAATTGGCTATAATCTCTTTTATTTAATTTGGGGGACTTCCTCTCTCTATCTTAACCACTTAACAGTTTCATTTAATTTCCAAAATCATTCAAAAAATGTCAATTTTTTTATTGTGGTTAATTACGTATTTTGTATTTTTAAAACAGTAATAATAAATAAAATTGTTGCAAATATGAAAAGTAATTAATTAGAGCATTTTAAATGTTCACTGATATTTCTCAAATTATTGCTTTTTTTCAAGCACTAAAGATGCGCAAAAAATCGCACTTTTACAGGTATAAATAAAAAATGGAAAATAATTAAAAACATTTTCAAACTTATCAGTGCATATTTCCTTTATTGTAATGCTTCATTTTTCTTTAATTATTATTACAAATCAGATTTGGTATGACAGAGTTTGAAACAAGGTGTCAAGCACAGTCTAAAATCACAGCCCAAGCAATAATACCGTGTTTCTTTTCTAATTCTCTTTCCATTGTCATTTTTATTCAACGAACAAACATAGCACTTTCTTGTGGGTCTCAGCTTCTTTTTACTTGGTGGAATTATTTCTAAAAAGTATCTTTCAATCAATCTCCTTGGATCGGGTTGAAGGGCAGAATTTTTTTTTTTTTTTTTTTTTTCAGATACTGCTCCATATTTTTCTATCAGGCACTCAACAATGCCCAATCTAAATTCCAAATGTATTTTCCCCCATTTTTTTTATACAATACAAAACTATTCCATGAACAAATGTCTAAAGGATTATTTTTTTTTCTCTTTTCTTCATCAAGGGGTAATTTGTAAGAAGTTGGTCCAATCTATCTACACTTTGCATAGTATTGTTATACTCCATAACAAATTTAGGTTTTCTTTCTTATCTTATTTTTGTGCATCGGTACATGAACCATTTCA